CGATCGTGTATTGTAGCAGTAGTCAAATTCGAAATTGTGTCAAGGTAATATTCAACAGTAAATTGACAAATGTTTGCGAAGTACATATAAAATCGGTCTGTATACACATATAATACAAGTATACAAATTAGATTAAAAAGCATGTTTACAGTTGGTATAGGGGTACTACACCGCGTAGCAAGAGCTGGACATTGACAGTTCATGAGACTTGGCAGACAGACTCTTAAAATCACTTGTCCTAAAATTTTTAATTTGGTTTCCTAGGAGTGGACACATTCAGTTTCATAGGGAGGACCAAAATGGATAGTCTTTACCGTGGCTGAAAATGATTGTTAAGTTTTCAACACCAGTGATATGGTTCAATGGATTACAGTCGGTCCTAGGAGCTGACTGAGTGAACTGGAAGACACTTTTACCGCCGTATTCTTGAGCAAGCTTACAAGTCCTCTGAGTACCTTGAAATTTGCTGAGGATATTAGCTGCTGGGAAACAAAGTCACTTGTAAAAAGAATCTGATAAACATCCGATAAGTAGGGAATGACACAATGATATGCGTCAGGATGCATGTCACTTATTGTTCACCCTCTGGATGAGACTGCCAATTATGAATACTAAGATGTTCCCGAAGGTCTTGCACAAAATATCCTTTTCAGGCATTAAGACACCACACTTTTCACCAGAAAGTTGTCACAATCTACGTGACTGCACGTGTCTGGTTGAAACCAGAGATTTTGAAACATTATCCAATGACGATGTCCTTATATTCACTTCAAGAAATGCAACTACCTACGCGTAGGGATCAGAACCTGTAACCCAGTTATGTTGTTATAAGTATAAAACTTGGGCATATGGTAGAGTATAAGTCCGTCATAGATAAAATTTTAATTTGATAAATCACACAGTGTTATACAGTAATATTAACTGATGACGTTTCGAGCACAAACTATTGCTTAAAATGATATCAGTTATGTTGTCTAAAACTACGAAAGCAGGTGGAAGCACTGACTGGCCTGCAGCCTAGTTTTTTCATGCGTACTTGCGGTTGTATGCCTTGTCCAGTGGTTAAATATGAAAGTTTACTGCTCTGCTAACTCTCCATCTAGTTTACAGAGTGTGGTCCCCTCGATACATATATGTTAAATAGGGTATTCAGAGTTAGCTATCAACTTCCCAGACCTGCCGGTGAGCATAATATTTGGAGGCGTCTCTGTGCTCTAGCCTAAGCGTAATTTAGAACGTCTCTACCTCGGTATTATGCGTTAGAAAAAATCCCACTGCTCTGTCAGAAAGCTCATATTTTATTGCTAAGCCTGTGATCTTGTTGAAAGACGATTTTGACTATCCTGTGTTAACTTAATGTCTGATATGATTAAACCGAAAAAGAGAATACTGTGATATTGACTCACTTGTGCACAAGGCGAAAACCAATAACATGTGTTGTGTTTTATTTGTTGGAAATTATCAAGGAGTTACTCACATGTCTTAGTGCGCAAAACTCAGTACCTCAGTTTCATTAACCAAATCCTCAAAAAATATTACCCCTAAGTAAAACTAGTGAGCCAAGATACTGAACTGCATTAGAAGCGTCATCTGTATTGATTATTGACGACGCTGGCTCTGAGATCTACAACCTGTGTCAATAATTATGAACGTCATACTTTTATATCTTTGGCTAGTAGTCAGCAAAAGTCATTGCCTACCAAAGAAGTATGACTTAATTTTACCTTTCATCGTTGTCACATGTTCTGCAAGTCATCAGTGATGACTCTATCGTGGTTTAATGTACATTTAAACGAGTAACTGTGTGGTACTGTAACAACAGAATGCAAGACACGGGATCTAATGTATCTTTTTCATTGATCAAACCGCTGTTTATATATAATAAGAATAAAGACTGAAATCAAACAACGGGAAATTTGTAAATTTAACATAAATGAGTATGCACCATCAGTTCGATACGGCGCTTAACCTGACTTCAAGCGATCTGACAAGAATTTGCTCTTCAAACTTAAATTGTTGACTAGCTCAGACTCGACCTATCGGAAACAAATGTATAACATTTGGCTTGTGATCGTTGAACCCTACTTGCTTGTGTAATTCGTTTCCAACTACTCAAATTACTGATAAGTAATATGTAGCTGTTCTCACAAACTGTCTAGGTGCAGACAAAACAAACACCAGTAGAACTCCAGCCCAAACTACTTCTTGTCAAAGAAATCGTGTTAGATACACAACTGGTAACAATTTTGCCCTTCTGAAAACATCTATAAAGTCAATTTTACCAAACTCTACTTATTAATCAGGACATTCTACAATTATTGACACAACGTTGATTTTGACTACAAGTGGCTTTTTCACTGCATTATGGATGGTTAATATGAAAACACGTTTCACATTAAGGCATACAGTACATAATGAAGCCGTGTTATTTGCATTAGACATTGCTTCAGATAGTCAATCGATGACGCGTAGCCAAAAAATAATCACGTCCATTAGGATCAATATATAGAAGCAACAATAATGACAATATAAATAAAGCCAGAGAACTATATATTGGAGAATATTATGAGCAGCTTAGTTACTTAAATAACAGAGAAGTCTGATCTTAGCATAAAAAATGTCTTGAATTAACGATACACCACGTTTTATAAACAAGAATATACAGGCAAATTCTATGAAATGTGACTTATCACCCGTACCCAAGAAAATACTGTTCATAAGCTAGGAATTCAAAGATGATTTAGCTTTCAATATCATTAAAAGAAGGATCTAACAGTCTCTGAATTAAACATTCTCCACTGCAGCTTTGAGAATAGCCTTTACCAGTCGACCATTACTGTTCAATAACCTGAAGGACAAGATCCTGCAGTTGATCAATTCTATGTGCGTTAATCAGTTCACCTGCTCCTGTGGAGCTAGGTGTATCGGTCGTTCGACTCTAGTTTTTTCCAAAAGTGTGGATGGAAGTGAAGCAATAAGAAGCGCCATCAGTGAACATCTGGTCGATAATGATCACCCTATCTCTACAGCCTCCGCCTTTAAAGCCATCTACAAGGCGAAAAGTGATTTGCCCAAATCATTACGTACCCAACTCATCTGTATTGTTGAAGTTTTGGCTATCAAAACAGAAAAGCCAGATCTCAATATACAGAAAAAGTTCTTTCAACCCCTCCAAATACATGGTCGTAATTCCTCTATGTTAAAGTATGGTAATCCCCAATCATATTTTGATTGGACACTAGTAACTAGTGTGATGTGTCTAGTTTCCTTTCCCTGGTGCAGACTGAATTTTATCAGTTAGGTTTGCAATTTGGCCATCATTCTAGGCAGCTCGCCATCACGGTGCACATTGATTTGATGATATTAGATGGTTGGAGGCAATCGGCTACAGGAAGCCTTCGACCTAGGATTCGTGCTAGTTGGCACTCATCAGTCAACAAAGCATATCTGCAACCTTGAAGGAACTCATGTCCCCTCTGAGATTCGAACCCGCGTCACCCAGTGCTGCAGTCAGAGACGTTATCACTGAGCTATTCAGGCTCGCGATTGACCTCCTGCGACCTACGTAGAATGGCGGCCACACTACAAACCTGACTGGTAGGATTCAGTCTGCATCTAAGAAAGGACTAGACACATCACACTAGTTACTAGTGTCCAACCAAAATATCCACTACAGTCCTACACGAGCCCAAATAGCTCAGTGGTAACGCCTCTAAGTGCAGCACCGAGTGATGCGGGTTCTAATCTCAGAAGGGACATGAGTTCCTTTGCATTTGCAGGTACGCCTTGCTGACTGGTGAGTACCAACTAGCACGAAACCTAGATCCAAGGCTTCCTGTGGCCGATTGCCTCCAACCATCTAATATCATCAAATCCCTAATCATATTTTGGCTCTACCCGGGATTCGGACCCAGGACCTTCCGGTTACAAGGCGGGCTACCTCGTAGACCATTAAGCCACTAGGACCCGACCCAATGGTCCTTGAATTCAAACTTCTGCCAATTCAAGACATAGCGCGACCGCTAGCCAATGTCTTCGGCGAGTATTTGTCCTCACACCCGACCCGCTGCACCCTACTGGTCACGACTTCCCCACTGGAACCCAGGTAACTACCTACCTGAATAGGGCCAGTCACCAGTGAGCATCTCATTGGTATTTTTCATTTTGTCTATTCAGTTTGTATACTCTTCCTTTATTACGTCAGTTGTTACGATTACTATTCTCACTCTGAACTGTCGCCCGTATTATTTCACTTGTCATTTTGAATCAACTGTTTGGCAACGTCAGATTTTATGTTATCAAATTTCACACAGTATTAAGTAACACTTTTATTTTATTCAATTTGCTTACTAATCCTATAATTGCACACCCGTTCCAAACATCCTACAAATTATTCTATATACGACATTAATTGTTTTGCCACTTGACACATATATCAATGATTATAATCACAAATATTTTAATTGCATTTCATACTACTACTATTATTATTATTTTACGCATTCACACTTATGATTCCATTCCTTCACCGGATATAATTTCTTAAAAACTGCATATGCATATATACGATTGTACAGCTTGATAATAAATTCGCTGAATCACATGTTAACGATATGTATCAAATAATCATAATATGTTGGTCAAGATAAGCAAATACTTGACAACCAACTTTTTCCAACACAGTCTGATTACGAGATCACATATATGTGTATGTACGACACAACCCGAGATAATAAAAAGAAAAAGAAGAAAATGCCTATTTGAATGAACATTTTATTTGCATTTCAATAATAACAATAATAAGTACAACAAGACATAAAAGTTAGGTGATAAACTCAAAGTATACAACACATTATTATTAATATTATCATTATTATTATTTTCTTTTTGCACAATGAAAATATTACTGAAAGTGAAGTTAGTAGAAAAAAAAGAAACATCAATAAGAGAATCAATTTTTTATTCCTTTGTAGTGTTGTTGTTATACACCCATTCTAATATCACTTTTCAATACGCGGTAATTTTGAACTTGGTTCTGAAGTCTTATCATCATCATCATCGTCGTCGCCATCATCGTCATTATCCTTATCATTATTAGAGACAGATGAAATTTTAGAATGATGATCATCATTATTGAGGGAATTTTTTTCAATAAATATCGTTGGAAAAACTAATAAGATACAGGTTACATTGTCACCAGACATACGAAGTACAGCTTCATTAACCAAATGTGTACATACTGAATCCAAATGACGTTGTGATAAGATTTCAGATAATTTGAGAGTAGACGACTATTTGTAATATATAATAGAAACAATAAATAGAAAGATAGAAAAAGAGAATATGATACAACTGTTACAGATAATCAAGTACTAGAGAAGATTTATAGATCAAGTGGATGATTTGTAAACTAATTGTGTTCTCTGAGCTGGTTGGTTTAATTGAGGAGCTTTCGTCGTCCTTCCGGATAACATTCCCTTTTAGCGTAATTGATTCAAATTCTCCATGAATGATAGGGTTGCGTTTCCTGATTACCATCTTCGTAACTGATAGTCTATTTAAATGTGTATTGATCATTTTTATGGACTTGGATTTTGAACTTTCTCGTCGTTCAGAAGGACAACGAAAGCTCTGCAATTAAACCAACCAGCTCAGAGGACACAACTAATTGCAGATAATGAAGTACAGTACGAACTTATTAAGATTGCTGTGTCATAGGCTGAAATGAAGCCACCTTACCTTAATGAGCTGAAAAAAGTTAACTAAAAAATATATGTTCTTCGTAAGATATCCAGACTGTAACAAACTCCTTCGGGTTACAAGAGTGTATATTTCTAAAACACGTATTAATATGAATACTGACAAAACTTGTTGCATAAAATATTAAAGACTATGCTAGATTGACTACTGCGAATATATCACACAAAGTATTGTGAAAGTAAAATTTGTAGAACTAAAGAAAACGTATACATTCATGACTGCAGTAGTCGAACTGATCTACTACGACGACTTGAGAGGAGAGGAAAATAAAGTCTTTGATTGAGATACATTTGTGTAGTACTATGAATATGCTTACAATATAATAAAGATGGAATGCATTATAGCGGTATATAACTCCCAGAAACTATAAGCCTACAATAGTTATTACTCAACAGTGGGTGCTGATCTTCACTGTTTAAGTTGAAGGTATGCGGTCAATTATACATAACACTTGGCACACTGTCGTGTTACATTCAGTTGCTGACGCACAATTTCCAACTAGCTAAACACATATCAGTGTCCTACGTTTTTGACCCCAATATATGGCAAAGTTAAACTTTAAGCAACACTAACTATCAATCAGCGAATGACATCGAGTAGTGCAGTCCTTTCTCCTTGTTACTGATCCGTTCAGACGGACAGCACACATTCGGCTATCTACCGGGATCCAGTCAAGCAATGTCTTTTCTGCCCTAGTACTCAGAGCTATCCCTACACCAGCTAATCCTCGTGAACTAGCCGTGGCATCTCCTGACACCCTCAAGGTGAATTTTGCAGATTCATCCTGTTGGCCAGGTGGGGTTAGGTGAATAACCACATTTGGGTCTTGTATGCGTGTTTCTGAAACACAGCATATATCAATGGCTCGGGATGCCAGGGTCTTAGCTAGTGATGCTTGTTGTCCTATTTGGCAAAGTGTCCTGACATTAAATGCTCCTATATGAAATTGGTGGCGTGGCTTCAGGAGGCTGTCGGTAGTGGTTTTTTGGCTTCCATCGTTTTTAGTGGACGCAGAGTGGAGAGGAAGTGGAGAGCTATCAAACCGAGGAGTTGCATCAGTGGAAGGAAGGCAAGATGATAGAGATGAAGATGAAAACAAAGATGAGTGAGTAATGGAGAGGTTTCGCGTGCGTTTCGGATTGTGAGGGCGATTGTTACTTCCCGGCTGCCCACACCGTGGAAGTTGGTTGCGTGACCGCAGAGCCCAGGGGACAACTGCTTGAGGCCGGTCACACGCGGCCTGCTTTTGTTTGTTCTTTGTTGTTTTGTGTGCCTCAGTAGCATATTTATCACTCCTGCCGTGTGACATGGCAGCAGGAAGCGCGGTCGTTGTTAATCCGGGCCACGGCCGATCCGGCATGAAATTTTGTGATTTTGTATTTATCATGATGTTGGATTGGGTAGCTGCTTTTTGTTTAACCACTATCCAAACAACCTGCCTGGCATGGTAGGACCTCAAGAGACATAAGTCTCAGCCAGTATAGCTTGAATAGATCATTGCGGTGTTCAAGCCCGACCACCACGTCAAGGTAGCAGCTTTCGGTCGGGGCATAATAAGGTGAGCAACATTGAAGTTAGGCGTCGAGTTCTAGGTAAACAGGGGAAATCAATCGACGAAGTCGTGAAGTTACAAAGACTGAGATGGTTAGGACATGTGCTACGTAGGCCGAGCCATCGCCTCCCTCGACGAGCAATGTTAGCGGATATAGGGTCAGGCTGGAAAAAAGCTAGCGGAGGTCAAACAAAAACTTGGCACCAGTCAATGAAATCCACAACAGTTGGTCTAAGCCACGTAGGAAGGTGTAGACTTCCAGGCTGGGGTCCTCGAGACGGTAAAAATCAATGGTTGGAAACAATTGGTGACATGGCTCAAAATCGTTCTCAGTGGCCAGCGCAGATGCATCCACTCCTTGTGACTTATGATCTCCAATGAAACTGTTTTGTTCTTCGTTACTACTATTCCTTTGTCTCACCCCTCTGCTCACTGTCTCTATTATGCTTTTCTTGTACTTTCTTCTCTTGCTTCGCGTGCTACACGGAGTGTGGCGACTTGAACTTCCGCACATTTGTGCAAAGTTCTATGTCGAAAACAGACAGACAGAGTGACATCGAACACACCAATCACGTGAAGGAGGCATTTTCGTGGATGGAATACATATGGCGAAGTTGAACAACAGCGTCCCAGGAGTGCGAACGCTCGTGTGACCTTGAACGCATGCTAGTCGTTGGCTTTTAGTTTTACGTTGGAGTATCAACAGAGTATAATTCCATTATGGGCAAAATCTATTTTGACAGAGTTTCATAATGTAATACAGTAATATTTACTGAGGAAAAAATTGTGCTTGAAACGTCATCAATAAATATTATACTGCGATACTATCAAAACAAATATTACCGACAATGGACTTCTACTCTAACACAGTGTACAAATTCTATTCTTATATCAACAGAATAATCAAACCACATTCTATGCATGTAATTATTTAGGTCTTCTAACCATAATCTTTCTTGAACCTAACTCTAGCGTGAAAATATCCCTAAACTAACTGTAATCTAACTCGAACCAACTCTAATGTTGCCTTAATTAGGTTAGCCTAACCCTAAATTGTCTTTGGCTTAAAGAGTAACTTAATCCTTCCCAAACCTAAGCTGAAACTTTCCAGATATCCCATTTAATAACATAACACTTCGATGAACATATTTTGTTGATGATGATAACATTATTTCTCAGGTTTCACTAATTTGCTGAGTGGGCCTTTCGCGGTCATTGGTGTGGTCGCACTCCATTGGTAGTCAGTGGTGCTTAAAGTTTAACTTGGCTGGATATATATATATATATATATATTGGACGATCAATCGATCTGCTGTTCTAATTTAGCTTTCGAAGAGTCCCCTGATGATATAGAACAAGTACACTAGGGGCTTACCATGTAAGTGTATTCTACATACCCGTCAACATCCTATATCTTTTAAAAACATCACATCGACCGATAATAAACGATGTCATAAAATCTTAAACCACGGATTGTAGAAATTTTGAGTATAAAAAATATATGTCCTGCACTCCTCTACACGGCTGCCATCAATATTCAGAGTTTTCATACATTGATATTGCCTTTAAAAAGTAGTTAAATTTTTCTTATTTGACTTAAAATATATTTGTCGAGAAAAATGACACATGCTTAAGATACCCACGGTAGACTATGTTAGATATTTATTCAAATAAAATGAATTATATGCTGAAACAGTTACTTTGATTGAAAAAATAAATCTAAAAGATTAGAAGCTAATAACTAAGCTCTAATTAACTAACTAGAGCATTGTCTGGATACTTGGACTGATACACGTTAATGCAAATTTCTACACAGACTTGGTCCAAGCTACATTTTTTCTTTAAAAGACATTCATCTTTAACTGAACGGAATATCAACTTCTAAGAACACAAATTATTTTCAGTAAATAGATGGGTGATAAAACTGAAGACGTTTGTTATCCACAAGAACTGGTACCATGTCTCATTGTACCCCCCGAAAATCACTTCTATAGGTAAAACCCGGAGAAAGAAATTGACTGGACCACATTGGTTGACTATGTCGCTGAGTGAGTGGTAAGTTTCTCTACTAAGTTCGAATGGCAGTCTTATGCAATATCCAGGACATTTTACAGCAAAAAATAATCAATATTGTTAGGTAACAGTAGGTTTAATAAAATGTGATTAAAGGATATTGATGATTATTCATTGCCACAGCTTCATTTACTACTGATATCATTATGCAGTATGCACTACTTTTTTCCTATACTGAATGTATAAATGTAACTCATAGGAAGAATGATAAAACAAAAAACATTTTTAGTACGGTGTCATTACTAATGTCGCCAACTACTAAATTCACAGATGAATCTAAAACCACATCATATACGCCTCATAAAGAATGAGTTTTCGAAAGAAAGGCACTAAACAGCTGTGCAGTCCTCTTTGGTTTTCAAAGATACTCGGAAAGGGGTTCAACTCGTGATGAAAACTTTACTGGAATATTATAATGAGGCAAGTGAAATGTGATGTAACTTCTTTACAAATCAAGAAAATCGACATTAACAAGCTTTCGACTGAAAACAAAAGACAACAAATCGTCAGAACATAAGAATTTAGTTAAGGTTACAATGATTGACCCTGCGAAGATAAGCAATTTAGAATAAAAGCTTAGCAACTGCACTACATGCATTAACATACAACAAAACAATAGGGTGGGAGAGGGTTAAGATTCTAAGAAGTAATCTATGTAGGTGGAGAGCGAGAAGGGTTGATTACTGAATCCTTGTTCATCGAGTCTACACCCAACACATGCAATAGGAATGACTCATCATTCATACCGGAAATATGGGAAATACTACTACCAATCAAGCCAAGGCGATGAAAAATAATAGACGAAGTTAGAAAGTTGTGGGAGTACCTTGATATGATTATGAGCGCGAATAAATCGTGCTCCAAACGTCATCAGTAAATATCACTGTATAACACTGTGAGACTCTATCAAAATAAATTTTACCCATAAAGGAAAAGATAACAAACTTTAATCATGAAAATAGCACAAACAGCGAACGCAACAGGATAACGCGATACCGTATTTTGTCTAATGTCAAACAAACTCGAAAATCGACAGTAAAAAAATCAACAAGTTGGCAGAAGAAATAGAGAAGACAAAACTTTAAGTGAACATGGATAAGACGAAGGTGACTGAGATACCTGGCCAACAACAACGACAACAAGATAGAATCACCATCAATGGGAGAAATTCGAAGGAAATCAACTCTTTCACTTATCTAGGCAGCATCGTTTCAACTACAGACGGCACGGATAAAGATGTCAAAGCCGGCATCGGACATTCATCCCTCTGAAATCAGTGTGGAAATCTACTGCACTCAGCTTAAAAAAACACGACTGGGATTTTCAACAGTAGTGTCAAGTTAGTCAGCACTTCTAAACGGTTCAAAGTCTTGGCACGCGCATCACGTAAAACATTCCCAACAGGCTGTAGACTTTCATTAGCAAATATGCCTCTGTTGCATATTAAAGATTAGACGGCCAAAAAAAATATACTGAAGGAAATGGAGACGGATCAGAGACATGCTGAGAAGACTGTTGAACGACATCGCACTGCACGCCACGGAGTGGAACCCGAATGCGAAACGGCGAGCCGGGAGTCCAAGGATGACACGGAGCAGATCGTGCTGGGAGGAAAGAGAGCTTATGGGTGGTTATGGGGCCTGTTAAAGAGGACTGAAGAGAACGGGACGAAATGGAGATATGCTGTTGAAGCCCTATGTGCCACTTGGAACCCAAGAGAATAATAACAATATAATGTAGGGCATTCAGCTGAAGAAACCTGCCGAGACTGATGAATGCATTAAATCCTGTCTTATTAACAATGCAAAACAATTATAATATCAATAAGTATTTACACACGTTACTGAATAAACTTTAAAACAGAATTCACTTGATATACTATGTAATTGAATGGACGAAGAGTTGAATGTAGAGAAATACAAGTGTTATTAAGCTTGTTGGTATATTTAACTCACCTTGTTTCGACCACTTCAAATCACCTAAATGTGAATCTAAAGTAACAATATACTGTTAATCTTATATCTTTATCAATGGTCCGAATTTCGCGTCTGGCTCTCAAAATATCCCAGTAACTTTTCCAATATGTATCAACAATTCCATTATAGATAAGATTTTATTTTGATAAATCGCACAGTGTTTACAGTTATATGAACTGATGACGTTTCGAGCACAAACTATTGCTCATAATCATATCAAGTTACTCACACAACTTTGATCTCTCATTTATATACATATGTGGAATGGATTAGATATTGGATTAAAAATCAATGTGAGATAATGTACATTCAGAAATAATCGTACGAGTGTTGTTGATCAATTGCAATTAGATGGGAAAATTGGACGAGTGTTTTTACAGTCATAATAAGCTGCTTGTTAGAATGTGTTTGAATTGAAATAGAATTTTGATTGATTGATTTTTAATCCAATATCTAATCCATTCCACATATGTATATAAATGAGAGATCAAAGTTGTGTGAGTAACTTGATATGATTATGAGCAATAGTTTGTGCTCGAAACGTCATCAGTTCATATAACTGTAAACACTGTGCGATTTATCAAAATAAAATCTTATCTATAATGGAATTATACTCTACCACAGTGCCCAAGTTTTATACTTATATCAATAATATATCAACAAGTTTTCAAGTATTGGTTTGTAGGGATTTGATTGAGTGGTTACAGGATTTCATCGCGAGTTGACATCAGTTAGAGGACCATTAGAAAACCTGCAGGAAGTACTGGATAGCTGTTTCGTTAACCTGGTTTAGGATTCTTCAGCGATACGCACCCGCACTGCGGGGTTCGAACCCAGTACTTTCTGATTACGAGGCAAGCTAGCTCGTAAACTATTAAGCCACTGGAACCTGATCGAATCGCCAGCCTATGAATTCTAGCATCTACCAATTCACAACATAGCGCGACCGCCAGCCAACAAGCTTAATAACACCTGTAATTCTATCTGTCCAACTCATTGTGTATTCAACTACGCAATACTAAGGGACTTCTGTTTTCACACTGACTGAATACAATGCGTGAATACATCGTATATTGGTCCTAAAACTATTTTAGGTTGTAGACAGTTGATAAAAAACCAACTAAATAATATGCTATCATAGTGCCCTGCTGAATTTATTCTTCTTACTTTCTTCAAAGACAGGTGAAAAACTGTATGAAACAAACTCTCTGATTACCTGACCATTTTGTGAATTCAAATGTTCTTTTTTATAATTTTCAATTTCCTTCATTAAAAGTTGATGAGTAAGACAGACAGCTTCATTTGGTGGAAAGCTTTTCCAAAGACCATCACAAGCTATTAATAAAATCTGAAACAAAAAAAATTCGGAGTATTTTTTCAATGTATATAAACAAGGGTAACCTGTGAGTAAATCAATCACATGATGGACATGAAGACAGTTAGGAGATCACTTCACTAATAGATACCCATGTGCCAAACAATTACCTTGACACTTAAAAAGAGACGAGGAAAATACAACATGGTACAACATTGGCACACAATAACTTTATGGACTGCTGTCATGTTTCGGTCTAGTCACATCTGACTCCTCCTCAGTATGATCTCACTCCGGCCAACATTCTCCATAAGGAAAAGCGTTAACTCGGTATGCATAACACACGTGTTTCGACCACCCTAGTCGGTGGGAATTCACCGACTCATTCAGTTTCACTATCTATCATATACGTACCAATCAAGTGAAGAATAGTGAGAAAATCAACTATTGCAACAAAACTGAACTTAATTTATCTTTAGTTAACTTATTTATGGATATTAACACGAAAATGTGCAACCAAAACTGTTAATTCCCTGGTCGACCTCGTTCAATCTGAATATAAGAGTTAACTTCATAATTTGTAACAGTTGCTTTGGTTAACCTCAAACCGTCGTATACCATGAGAAGTCAAATCTGTAGGATTTTCTTCAAAACTATCGGGCTTCAACTGATCGCTCAACGGTAACTGATAGGTCACAGAAGGGCGATTATTAACGAAGGTAGTACACAAACTCTCTTCAGTATTACTGTAGTACAAAAAAGGTTACGAGGTTTATTCAGAAGTAGACGTTTTCAATGAAATTATGAAAGCTATTCTTCAAGACAATTCAGATAACTACAGCAAGTGCTAACCCTGCCAAAGTGCGAAACAATCTTAAATGCCGTAGGCAACTGTTTCATACCCAGACCCTCATTCATCGTACAATAAATCAGATTCAAACTCCGCAGCGACTCGCCTAAAAATCTGCGTAAACTCACTCTTTCTTCTTACACGAATGTGTAAACGATTTTACCTCAACTAACATCTGTTCTATACAGTTTGCCTTAACATTTGTTCTCATATCAAACTAGCAAAAGAAATGGGTGCTAAGAGATAGCACAGGGAGGTAATCGTCAATAAAATCCACCCTGGAGTTACAGGTTTCTTGAAATCAGAACTCCAATGCATAACACTTAATTCTAATATTAAGTATGAATTAATTAGAATAAAAGAAAATTTGAAGGCAAACAATTATTAATTAGTATATTTTTTACACTCTTCCATAGTTTTCAGTCAAGTAAACTAAAATTTTAACAGTTACAGTGTTTTCCCTCAAAATAGGATCGTAAGTGTGAACAGTATGATTTTGTGTTGGACAATTTGTTAAGGAAATACTTTCCAACCTCATATCATTATTAAACTGCATAACCACATTAGTTAATCTTATTGAAACAGCTTAGTCGTAATGTATGATGAGGATGGTATAGTGAAGACAAAGTACAAGAGATAATGAAGGATAAAACTGATCATGTGCAATATTTACCACTTATCAGCAACTGTTTAAGAAGTTTGAAATCACAACGTTGACCGATTGTTTACCAAGTGTTTGTTTAGAAAGATTCACCAGCTAAAATGGACTGATTGCTAACGAAATCTCAGCAAAAATACATAAGACTTGTTAGTCATTTGCTAGTCTTCACCATCTTTGGAGATAGCAAGATGACAGACTATCAATCAAAAGGTTGACTTAACTGCTGTAAGTGGATAGGCATGAACAAAGCATACAGACTTTTGACTAAACATGCAATCCTACAATTGTGTTTTCACGGTAAAGAACACATAGGATTGCTGAGATTAGACATTAAGAAACTGGCTAATTGACGAACCGCAGCAGAACTTCGCATAAATGTGAGTTGACCTAAGTTTCCATATATTAAAATACGAGAAATGAAATGACCCTTTAGTTAGAAAACGTAATTAGATGGAATAATTCAATGAGTGGTGCTAATCTGCATCTAACTATTCTCTATCCCGTACGACTTGCGCCATCGTGGTTTCATCACATTCCTTTTTTACTTGTATCTATGCTTCTTAGACGTATGAAGACCTGAACTGCTTCAATTTTGCACAAAGTCATAAGTTGATAAGAAACTCCATCAAACCAGTAAAAAGTATAAGGTATTGGTCAGTATATATTACTTTTTTGATGTTTCCTATATAACCCGATGTTACTTCAGTACTTCTCAAATGATGGAATCAGATATTGTTTCCAGATCAGCAAATATGGCAACTGTTGAATGCAAGTATATTCACATTTCAAAACTTGTTGGAGGGAGATATGACTAATCCACTCCCATCTATAAATGGGACCTACTTACGCTTCTTGAATTTTTCATGAACCCCACGTGCACCTTCGTGTGACTACGGACTCTAGATTTTTTTATAAAACATTATCTGCATCCTTTATAGTGTTATCACAAAAAGAAATCCAACTTCCATATTAGATAAGTTTATCTAATATGGTATTAAATTCTACCACAGTGCCTAAGTTCGACACTTACATTATTAGAAATCTAACATCTTTATAAACTGGGATGGTGGACGATCGAGATTAATTCAACTAATACGTCAACATAGCAGCTATTTGTCAAAACAGCATAGGTAAGTCTGTCAATGAAATTATGAGGCTTTATTGGGTAAGGTGGCTAGCACACATGCTACACACAGTCATAACCCTCTCCCAGTGGTTACTTCGACTGAAAAACGATTCGTTTAGAAAGAAATTAGGAGTGGTCAGATCAAAACACGTCAATCATCTATAAAGACAATGAATGTAGATGTTAAAAATCGAGCGGCCGGCAACCCAGTCCCTAATGAAACAAACCACATCTCCAGGATAACCCTCTTGGCAAATACACAGATGCATAATTTTCTGATGACATATTTCTGTCAAAACAAACAGACATAATGATGTTATCGCAGAATAAGATCTAGCATTACTCAGTACAAGTCTAGGCAGGTGTCCTTAATGGATGGAGATTTAAAATGAAAAGTAATAAATATCTGTTACTTTTTTTGAGGGTAATGGCAGCTTACAGAATAACGAACCTCCAAGTTAACTAATTCATCACAAAATATGCAACTTAAACCCACATATCAGTCGACTACACTACTTACGAAATCGAAAATGTGTCAATCGCACAATAAATATATATAACTCACTGGTCATCGTTGGTTAGCTGACATTTTCTTACATCTGGGATACATGTAACACCTTGTTTTTTAAACTGGTAGTCACCAAATGATCGACTGACTTCTAAAATACTGTTTACACGACCATTTTGAACAGAGGCTCCAGTAGCTTGTATACGCTGACGTTCTTCATAATCCATAGGGTTATGGTCTTTTGTTAAACAAATTGCACTCAATTTTGTGTTTTTTACAGGACTTTTATCAGTGTTATTTGCATTACCATTAGAATGATTAGATTCAGATGTTGAAGGAGTTTCAACAAATCTAGCTAAAACAACCTGGGAAGCAAAGTGTTAGTGGGATAAAACAGTGGAAAGTACAAAATTTGAGCGCAGACACAACAATATTCAAAATTATCAACAGTGAATTAACGTTGGATAAGGTCAAGACTACACTGAAATGGTCTAATGCTTCCCTGAAACATTAGCAACTAGAAACCCACAAGATCAGGATAGAAACAGTTTTAAATCTAAACTGGATGAATAATAGGAAGCTTGTGTGCTACTGATTATTTTCAAAGGACATTACAAGCAATGATGCCGAAGTAAATTACACTTTTTTAACCTTTTAACAGGCATATTGATGGGGCAACTTTTCGCATATGACTTCATGTATGTGTACGTGTTTTTAAGGGGGTAATGAAGATTGTTTTTCAGCCCGTTAGTAATAACTACAGCTTACGCTAACATAAATTTACGTAGAAAAGCTGAGTGACTAGGAAAAAAACAGACCTCAATTTATCGTCCAGAAATGAGTTCCTACCTGACGGCTACTACAACGACGTTTATTGCTATTTGTGTTAATAAGTTTATATATGTATGGTTACGAAATAGCACTTTAGTCATGAATGCAGTAAATGAATATAAAAAAAATAAAAAATTATAACAATGATGCCCATAAAATGAAATAATTTAACAATTATAGGTTAAAGTATGAATCACCTTTGAGTCACCTAGATTTGCAATATAAAGTGTATTATTCACTAATAAAACAGTTGCCGCTGTACTACCATCTCTCCAATGAGGGCGCCTGAAAAAATAGAAAGAGGCGCAAAAAAAGATGAATGAAACATAATGGTTGGTTTCCTACTGCTGACACGCCTCTCTTAAAAACTCTTCATCTGTTTTCTTATATGAATCGTATAACACACGCTTTATATCCTTTTCTACTTGTTGTATCCCACCTGAAGAGCAAAAGATGAAAGATAAATCAGTCGATAATATATTTGAAATTTTTTCTACATAACTCAAAAAATAATTAACCTAATAAAACCTCTTAAAACTACCTACCGACTAAAATGCTCCAATATCACGACATACATTTGCACAAAAACAAACAGTTGGCGTAAAAGCGGTTTTGTTTAAAATGGTGAAAATAATTACAAAACTATGCATTTATTTAAACACAATTTCAGTACCAATGTCAACCATCTACTTCAGGCTGGACAACTGGATAGTATCACCAGCCCTCACACAAGAAGTGTGTCTGGAACATGCAGGACCTTTTCTGGGAACTGAGTTCAAACTGAGAAGACCATGTGAACAGCAAGAAATGAGTTACACAGAATATTACAACAACAGTAGGACGAAATATATATGAAGGAAAGTACCCAGAGATAAACAGGACGAAACACGTAAACGTATTTGTCAGGGTCATCCCAAAGAGCGGTCACTACTTTCTGTCATTTTCGGTAGTATAGGTAACAAGAAATCTGCTGTACAGTGACTATATATCGTAGTTCTGCGTCTTATTTAATAAAACCTAGAGCGACTAGGTCGCTGACTTTTCAGAAGCCACGAAGTTTCCTGATGTATATAAGATATGCTGACCTAATTCAACTATCCTTCATCCTACGGTGCCACATTATTTCCTGACCACTTCCACATTCTTCGACTAGTACTAGGACTAGCAAACAGTTAACAGTATGGTGACCACAGTGCTGACCCACCGACCAGCAACTGATTTAGACAGTTGGCCTGTTATCACCCAGTAAGGTAATATTGTCTGCATTATCTGCCTAGATAGCAGATTTACATCACTACGTATATCCCATTAGAGTTTTTATCAGAACTTTAGGGGGGGAAGAGTCAGAAAGAAACAGCGAAATCAGGCAGTCCTATCTAACCCTAATTCTTATAGGAAAAGATGATAGGCGATTGCATACTTTCATTCTATCTGATATTTTTGTATAGTCATTACAAGCTACCAGTGAACACAGAGGTACTTCTAATACAACCCAAAATAATTTCATTTAATGGGTTTTACGTAACCGAAATATCAAGAAATACTGTAACAACAGAAGACAAGGGCCAGGCAACAGATAATTTATTAAGGAAATCAACACATATTTATACATTTTCATGTACATTATTGTAGATTATTTAAGCAAACAAACAGTCTTTTGATTGGTTGTTTCTCACAGAAAGTTAACCTTGCATCTCTTTGTGGCTGTTTCTTGAATGTCAGATCATCTATATGTTAACTGTATCCGCCTACGCAAAGCCCTTCTTTTTATTTTTCTCAGGACCAATATTGGGGACATAAACATTGACGTGAATTACTGTTCACCAATTTTGACTAACAGCCAGCTCTCACCACAATACCACTGTTGTTCTGAAACACGTTTGATAGTGTTTCGACACTTACCAGAAGGTGAACCCATGTTTCCACAAACTGAACAATAACCAGTATTTTTGTTGCAAGTGGTAATACACAATAACCCGATGATTGAAAAATGCATTACGTAGCCATTTTTTATACATAGACAAGATGGTCGCTTAACTCCACACACACGAAACACAACCTTAAATACCCTCTGGAATAACCTAGCCGGTTCCAGGGCTACCGTCGCCATCATCTTAAAAATGGACCGCGGCTAACTTGCCTAGGCTGTCTTTCGATGCATCAGCAACTGGAGTCCCCTTGGACCACCACTTCATTAGGCATATCGGCGATAACCTATGAAAATTAACTGACTTAGAACAGGGAATAATAGCACTTCTTAAGCTTAAGTGTTATTTGCTAATTCGCATGCCATCAACCTCACACTACACAACGGATAATCCCCCTGTAGAATACGGGTGAATTGCAAGGACGTCTACTGATTATTATCCAAAATTACAAGTTTCACATTAACGATACGATTTCCGACCCAAGATAAGTGAACGGGAAATACTTACACATTCGCACAAAACGAAGGAAACTTCCAACACTACTAGAAAAATAGCTAGCGATCAAACATAACTGGAGAAGTAAAACAGAAGATCAAGACGCACTTTGAAGCAAAGATATACATCCAACATGCTTATTGGAAAAGCCAAAAGCGAAAAATCTACGTCGTTCTGACGCGTTTCCGACTAATGAATGTGATGATTGAGGATTTCAAACTTCTATGGAATTCACAAGTTTTTCGTGACTTAATTTAAGAATTTTACCAGAATGGAAACTGTGGCGGGATTTGGAGAAAATGCAACATCCTACCCTCAAACCCACCAAGGAATTTTATTTGTGTTATAGACATTACTACGAATACACAGTCATTTGCAAATAGTTCTAGTGGGATTTGTACGAAAACCAACTGGACCATTTCCAGTTTTAGTGTCAAAAATTGAGGTGAAATGCAAGAGACCTAATTTAAAAGCGGAAAGATTATCAAAATAGCACAATAACATATTAGGCTGACTGATAAACAGAGGGGACTCTCACCACGAGGAAAACGTGCAGCGATATGTTGATGCAAGCGTTTACATGCAAAATTAGATGCTCTTGATCCTCCATGTCCATCAAAAACACCAAAGTAGCCCACTCTTCCACTGGAAATAATTAGTTCACAACTTATATTAGCTTGATTACATTTCACTTGAGACTCCTCGACACATAAGCTGCATCAAGTCGTCCATCAGTATATGAGCATCCTGCATTTCTGGCCTTTCTCCTTTTCTGGAGATGACTGAATAAATGATTGGAAAAAGTTCTTAGGAATGGATATCCGATATCACTCAACACCTTACCAACACATGATCCAGATTTAATTCCACTAGCTGAAGGTGTGTCATCCGATTGTTCTAACTTGTCTTAAATAACAGTCAAAACTGAAAAAAGTGTCCATACTTGATTCGTCACTGTCTACAGAAGGTTCGGGTAAATCATCGAAAAGACTCATTTATTTAGCCACCGCCACGATGGTCAAGGGCATTCAATACCCAATATCTATCCCCCTTCAGCAGCCATTATAAAGTAGTTTAAACTATTTAAAGTTGTTTTTCGTGGTGATAAACTTTTCCTTGATTTGCTGCAAAAATATAACCAGTAACTGAAATTACCTTGTAACGCCTCAAATGGAGCAGGTTGACTGATTAAATTTGTACTGCATTTCGTCATCAGTGTTAAGCCCGCTAACGGGTTATTAGTTCAGTTGTAATGATGACAACAACAACGACAGTAAAAATGAGGCTAACGGTGCGTCAATTTTAGTTTAACATAACTGTTAACATATCAGTGAGATATATTGAATGCAATGAAATTGTTTGTAATTTTATAGTCTGGATGAAACTTAGGTCACACTATGATGCTTCTCGAAGCCACTCTGAGTGACGAAATGGGTGTTCAGGGATGCATATTTGATCCGATTTGAGTTATTTTGATAACGGAAGCATTCCAGAATCTCTTGTTTAGTCTTGCAAATACTTATGTCTGTAGCCATAGATTATTGTCTAAAACTATTAGCCTACAACACCCATCACTCAACACTGGGTGCTGATCTTCACTGTTTAAGTTGACTTTATAACTGGTGTCTCGCGTTCGACCATCCACGCCATTTGGCACGCCATCATTTTACGTCCGGTTATTCGTCCACGACCCCTAGCTAGTTGAGTAGTCATTTTCGCACTACGATTCCGGTCCCGAAATTTATTTCATATTTTGGACGAACAAATTGATGTTATGATTTGTCTTTAGTCTTTGTGGAACAAGCACTAGAGGGGTTGTGGGTGTAACACTTTGCGTTGGTTTACTTCATAACATCCGTGAACTTCATCCTGGCTTCAACTTCTACAGGTCTGTCAGAATCTCATCCACACTTCTTGTAGCTGAATAAAGCTCCATATCATCAGTGCGAAGAAACGCCAGGCAAACCAAATACAGCGTATGGAAATGACTAATTAGTATAAACACTTGCGGAGCTACACAGGTCAGTCCACAACATGAGATGTAGCAGCATTTAGCTCTCGCATATAATCTCCTTCTGTCAATGTCCAGTTCTACTGGAATTAGCACTGTCTTTGGAAGACTTTTAGCAACAATATGCTACAACCAACTCGGAAAATCAGAACACAGAATGGAAACTCAAGAACCCGATATTCTTGCGCCAATATGTAACCAACAATAAGGTTATAATACACAAAGATTCTGATAGTATTTCTCCGTCTACTAACAGCGAACGATGGTACGATGACTGCAGTATCGGAGACCCCGCGAAAAATATGGATGAGTTGGGTTTGAGCAAACAGCCATGAATTGATCGTTCGATCTTTAACTACATTGACACTCCCCAACAATAAGGGATCCATCCCTTTCTTCCATCACGATCAATACACGTTGACTTGGATGCCATTGCGAGAATCTGGGTCACACGGACAAAGCTGAAATGGAAAACAAACAGCAAAGCCAACACACCACAGGCATACCCACAGCACAATCTCACACATCGACGCCTACGCCTTCCGGTTAAAGGCATCCTCTTGATAACTTGCAACACAATCGCCACTTGCTAGAATGACTCTTGCAGAAAGAACTTTGATCATAGCAGCACCTCATGATACCCTTCGCTCACCCTCTTGTCTATTCAGTATCAATTACCACTGCGATCACTTGTCACTCATTCTGCCTCAGTCCTAGTAACGGTGACATATGCAAGCCTCAGTCGTCTACATTCCCGCTTCTCAGCATGTGGGGCCACAGCCCAAATCGAAACATTCATTCTCAATCGTTGATTCCACAGCTAATCCTTATCTCCGTGTGCATGTTATTCTCAGCACTAACCTCCCCGGCGTATGCGACCCATCCGCTGTCTTGAACACCAATCAATTCATTCACCGATGTAGAAGACTCAAAACAACTTCAAAGGTAAGCACGACGAAAATTTTAACAAAATTATGCAATTCAACAAATTACGAAAACAACAAGTAAACACAGTGAATCCAAAAACTCCAATGGATGTGACACACCATACATATATACAAACAGTACATATAAACTCGCTGACCGTGTCCTGATGTAATTCCTTTGAAGAATCGCAGGACTTATACTATGTAATATGAAAATAATTTGACCCTCACATCCATCTAAAGGGCAGTGGCATCATTACCATTAATTCTCCAAAGCAGATAGGAGTGAAAGAAGAGACGGTCAACGCTCAGGTGAAAAGGATTCTTGCTCTTAAACTGGTGTGCATATTAATTCAGTGACTCTTTCCCCTTTAAATACATACATAAATGCAGACAGACGTCATTCAAGTAATTTTTATCAAGGCGACATTCCATGTATGCAAAGGAAATGATACAACATCACTTCCAAACATAGAGAAGATTGCATCAGCACACAGTAGAAAATAAGATATTGTTCGAAATAAAGTCTGTTCTTGAACGTAGCTGAAGTTTAAAAGTTATCGACAAAAATAGGTAATATTTGATTTTCAAAAAGGACCAGTGAGGTCCAATTAGATGTCACGTGTGTGGATGGATGTCCCACCAACGACAATGGTTGGGGTCGCGCTAAATCACGAATTAGTAGAAGTTAGAATTCACGAGCCATTGAATCGGGTTCCAGTGGCTGAATGGTATACGAGCTTGCCTTGTAACCGGAAGGTCCTGGGTTCGAAACCCAGTGGGTGCGTACTGCCGATGATTCCCAAACTAGGATGAAACAGCAGCTGTCCAGTACTCCCTGGTTTTCAATGGTTCTCTAACTGATATCAATCCGTGATCAACTCGTAAAACATAACTAATCCTTACAAACCAAACTATAAAAAGAAAATCAGTCAAGGTTAGTGCGTTTAAGTAAATATTTTTCGCGGACGTATAAAAATAATACGTCTTTTCGTGAGTCAACCTAAAAGTTCTTATTTTTACTGGTTATAAAGTGACAATTAGTTTTATTCAGTATAAGTGGAGTGATTGTATGATTCTGATTCCTTCTAATTTAATCACGCATTATACGTTAGCTGGATTAACTTTTAGTAGTTCGTCAATATGCATGTGGGTATGCCAAATGCCCATATTTTTAAACATACATATGGTGATTATTATTTCCGGAATTTTCTTTATAAGTCTAAGGATTCGAATAAATCAACAGAAAAACCCTAAATGAGATTTAATCAATATCACTCTGGGTCCTTATTCGATGGTTCTGATGGAAAATTAGTCATACATACCAATTTAATATGTATAACTTGCTATTATATTGATCCAGCTTGCAATTTGCAAAGACGCTACAATCAAGTCGTGAAACAGAAGCTTATATATCCACCTTGCTCACTGTGTTAATCACTGTCTTATACGAGACCCCAATAAAACATTTTGGGTCATTTTAGGGTTCTGGGAGTTCTTGAAGGAAAAAGAAAACGATTTCTCGAAATTTTTGAATTGATTTGTCCAGAAAGTGCTCTAAATTTTTTATTTGGGACTAGTAAATTTATACTTATGATATCGGTTGTCTGCTTATGTCAGATTTAGGTCACTAATAAAGATAGCAGTTAAAAAATATCGATAGGGCATCGGCTGGTCAGGCTACCCTAATCTTGAATGGTACGAATCAGTTTATTAATTTTGCTCATACGCAACTAGAATGTATATTCAAACGTATAGTTTTCTCTCATAGAGTTTAAGAAAGCTTATTTTCTACTGAGCAACCCTCAGTGACAATCAGCTGATTATCTAACTGTCTGTAGCATTCATTTCTTTATATACCTTGTATTTTGGGAGATAAAGGGATTTTCGCGTTTATGCCAAGTACAGTTTAGATCAAAGGAAGATCTTACCATCAAACTCTTTATTATTTCTTCTGTTTAGACCAAATACAAGTCAAAATACCAAACCGGCAGTCCGCAATACAGAATATATTTCGTAATCCAAATCTTAATGCTACAATAATAGTTTAGCTAGCTAGGGATTGCGGACGAACAACCTAACGTAACGGCGTGAAAAATGGTATGAGTGCTTGCCCGCAAACTTTCAGCTTGAGGAGTTGACTTAAACAGTGCGAGTTAGCGACTAATGCTGAGCGATATATGTTCTGGGCTAATAATTTTGAGGAATTATTTGCTACTACAGTACATACTCAAAGCAAAGAGGCTGTGTGCTAGCAATCAAATACAGTTTACAAAGTTCGTGAACTCATATAATGACTCTAATTGTTGAAATAGTGTATGTGAGGACAGTAAATCATTAATGTGTGCGTCGGTGGCACAGTGGTTAGGACTCTCGCCGACCATGCATATGGTCCGGGGTTCGATCCCCTGCCGACGCACACCTGATATCTATGGTCGGCCTGCAAAATTTGGGCTACCGATATCCATGCTGAAAATTCCATACTTGTACCAAAAATACGGTGTGGAATCAAGCTGTAAATAAAAAAATGTATGTCTTAAGACTCCTCATATAAGTTGACACCCAGTGTACGCTAAGTTTCTAAACTACTGCCATAAGTGTCACTGAGTTTCTTGGTAATGGAATTTTAATATGACTACTTAGTCGATATAACTTTGAAGGTATTATTCTTAAATAATCTGCCATTAGCCAAGGCTTTGCCTCAATAAACTTGGAATTACTGTCTCTGTAACATATGCACTAAGAGATGATTTAAGGTGTCACTTAGACAAATATTGTTGTCATCGAAACTTACTGTTACTTCAACACACAATGATATACGATTTATTGCTTGAATACTACTCCTTCACTAAGAAGACACAGAAGGCGACGGTGGCAGAAATTACGTCTAACTGTATACTTACTTCACAAGACTATTAAAGAGCAAGTCTAAGATATGAAAGCAATTTATTATAATTTAGTATGCACCAATACAAACTCACTGAGGTAACTTTTAATCTACGTGAAAACACACCCATTCATAATATACCATTCTGTAGTAACAGATTTCATTTTTTGTGAGTTTTGTGAATACTACTTACTTGTACTTATGTGTGATAGTGTTGATGAATATCATATTAGCCACCTATAGTAAAGGGCTATTTTTTATACAACAGCATTACAGCTTGGTGGACAGCAAGTAGTTTTTCTTAATTCGGTCTACTGACTTTAAACTAATTGTTCACAGTAATTTATGTCTGTCTTAGAATATTTATTCTTGTCACAGTGACGTGATTTCAAGATATATAGGTGCTAAGTTTGTCTGCAGTCATATCTCTAATAATCATGTTTACCTGATGTAAAAAGACAAAAATACAGACATCCCATTTAATTTTGGTAAACTACTAAACATGTGTGTGCCTTTTTCCATATGCTTAACTGATATAAAGACAAGAAAATTAAATGCAACGCCTCAAAATTCAACACGCATAATTTTTGCATTTCATAAACATTTCACATGATGACATATATTGTATTCTAAAGCTACGGATGTGACTGATCTTTTGACTCCATTTTAGAAGAGTAGCAAAGAGCTGTCGTTATCATATGAAGACCATAGAAATACCATTGGATTCCATCTGAAAGCCAGCATATCAAACTAAAACAATTTCCATTGCATTTCAGAATAAACTTAAAAGTCCTGTTGGTTAATTCCATTTAATAGGCTGCAGAGTGTTAAAGTAAATATGATTGAATGAAAATAAAATGATTTGTCCTTATCTATTTGAGAAATCCCAGGATTACCACTAACAGTTGCTACCTTGGACAGATTTGAAGTCGACAGCCTTATTTGCCCCAAGTTGCCGCTCTATTCGTTGGATTGTTGTGTGAGATAATATTCAAAAGTCCTAGAAACCGTCGTCTTGATTGATTCCTCAGATTTACTTAACTTATTCTACTGGTGTATATCATGGGCATTATAGATTAAAATTTCACTTCATTATATTCACAAACAGTCATTTGTGAGCTACTGTAGTTACCCTTCGACAACATCTAAGGAATGTAAAAAAATTCATGCTTCCTAAGATCTAGAAGTAAACCCTTCAAAACTACTGGACGTAAAGTTAGAGAACCTGCTTTACATATGTTTCTTCAGTAATTTCTAAACGATGCATGGAGGTGCCTGCAATGGAATTCCCGTAGGATAACTTCGTTCTTACATTAAAAGAGTCACTGCCGCATGTTACACATGTTACAAACAAGGCGTACGTTGTTTGATTGCTAATAGGCATACACAGTTTTTCGATTTCAATGATATTTCGATAGAGATGGTACGTCATAATTATCAGAATCCTCTTGGATTCTGAAGGACAGCTCAGTCCTGTTACGACATCTCAAATGTGAGTAATACGTGAAAGCCAATACATTTAAACTAGACAGTGTGTTTATCACATGCCTCCAGTAATGTTTCTCATGAAATTATTCGTGCACATAAGTCGTATGAAATGTCTATCAGTTAGCTAGAAATGTAATTATTGTGATGCTTAAAAGGAGTTTCACTGTTTAGTACAGTGTTTAACTCTGCCATAAAATTTTCCAAAAAGTGGTTTGTATTTTCACTTTCCACTATTCATTTTGCTACTGAATGCAACACCAGTAAGTGAGGATAATCAATGCATCAGAGCTGAACACAGCTTTTGCATGAAGTCATGAAGCTAAGATCAATCAACTGTGTTCATTTTCAATCCACTCCCATACAATGTAATATGATCTTCTGTAAGTAGCTAAATAATAAAGAGTTTACATGCATATCTGATGTAGGTCACTTTAATACTGCATCTTATTTGTCTACATTTTCTCTTAAATATGCCTTAAACCTGCGTCAGAAAGTTTGAAGAAAAAGTATTTGCAGAGAATAAGAACTCATTGTTCCTCTTGTTTAGGTTCATTTCTCATATTAGTTGTGAATTACCTCTCCACTTTGAAGTCCATATCTGTGTGTTTATGTTCTTCTTTGGATGGTGCGCTACCTTTCAACCATAAAGTTAGACGAAAGTGCACAGTATGATAGTGAACTTCCAAAGTTTTCGTGAACAACCTAGTCGAAAACAGGGTGAATAGTACTCAAATTTACAGAATTAATTAAATACTATTTGTATGTCTATATTATCATTCTTATTGGTATTGGATGGTTGGGGGCAATCGGCAGGAAGCTTGAACCTAGGTTTCGTGCTAGTTGGCACTCGTCAGTAAGGTGCATCTGCAACCTTGAGGGAACTCATGCCCCTTCTGAGATTCTAACCTGCATCAACCAGTACTGCAGTCAGAGAGCTTACTGCTGAGGTATTCGGGCTCACGAAAAGTTGCACTACCCCTGAATACTTTTCACAAAAATGCATGTCAAGAGAATTTAAACGTGAAGAATATGGCAAAAGAACAAGGAAACAAGTTACGAATGCCAACAACAAAAAGTACTTGTTTCTACACCTTTATTTCGAAATAGACAGCCTAGATATGTTTCCACCTCGAGTGAAAAAGTATTCTTAACAACACTTCTCTAGATAGGTTTGACAAAATGATGTAATTCATGGTTTTCATTCCAACTACACAAAAAAACCGACTGTTACTTTGCAGTTGGTTAACTCTGATAAAGTATATGGTTACATGTTATATTTTTATCATATTCTTATCACATGATAATCTATATGTTTGATGGAAGATAGATTAGGGACAATTACTGGCTTCCTTCAGCTGCATCTATCAAGAGACATCACACAGTAAAAATGAAGACCAACTCATAAAATACCCAGCCAGCTGTAGAAAGAGACACGAATTTGTCTTCTACACATGGATGAAGTAATCGTAATTAGGATTGTGAAGGAAAAAGTCCGAAATCCACTGAATCTTCCATGACCCTTCAATAGTATGGATGCTATTCGGTCTTATATTAAAAAAGAGTCATTTAGCTGCATTGGATTATAAATATTGTGTTCTGGTAGCACTTTTTGCATGCTGTTATTATTTAATACAATTTTCGTTGAATTCAGTTCGCAACTTCTGTTTCGTCCAGTAAAAATAAAATTCGTAAAGCATGATCACACGTTTAATCTCCTATAACTTACTAGTTTAAGCCAAATTCGCAAAAGATGAATATACTAGTTTATCTAGGCCTTGCCTGAGCCCCTGTAAAAACTGAATTAGTTGTTATGCGACTAATTTATCAATTCATACTTAACATTTAAACCTAGAATATTTACGTAGGCATCATATATACTTTTTAAAATGCTGTGTTTTTGTCGTTTGCTCGTTATTCTTCCAAAGTGGTTCATAAACTTAGCTGTCACAAACAAATATCAACGTTCCAATGTAAATTCAGGGTATTGCAGAAGTGAATTAATCTTCAAACTAAGTAAAACAGCTGAATAAGATTGTACTCATGTTTTTGAAATAATGGAGAAGATTTGTGCTTCAGGTGGATGTTCTTGGCGTAGCAGTGTTCTTTTTTGATTACACCTTTATTCCACACCGTATTTTTTGGTACAGGTATGGAAGTTTCAGCATGTGAGTTTAAAAGGTATGTAACTGGCTGAATAAAGGAGGCAGATATTTTTTAAGGAAAGCATCAGTGACGCAATGAAACAGTATAATTCAACAGATAAGGCTTCAAATACAGATCACGGTACAGATCCATCGGGTAAATGATAATATTTCACTATATATTATACATTTCATATCAGACAGTTATATTTTCCTAGATGTTCTAACTGACATGAATTCATTCAACTAGAATCCATCTTTTATAATAACAGACTAGCATACTTTAGTCACACGGAAATGAAGTCAAACAGATTCTTTTAAGGAGGTAAAGCATTTAGTATTATGAAGTAATGGAGAAGATTTGTAGATCCGGTGGATGATATTAAACTAGTAGTATTTTCTGAGCTGTTTGGTTTAATCCCCAAGCTTTCGTCATTCTTCTAGACGACATTTTAAATGCAGGTTTTAGTATAAAATGGACTCATTTAAATTCTCCATAAATGATGCATTTGTGTCTCCTAACAAACGTTTTCGTAGCTGGTTGTTAATTTACGTCTCTGTTCCTTGTTCCTTTGTTCCTTTATACTGACTTGGAATTCGAACCTTCTTGTCATATGATTTACTTTTTACTAGCTGATAATTATGGAAATCAACTGATTCGGATAATGTAGAAGTTTTAAATAGAAGAGACACCAAAAATACAGTCCGGTAATATATTTATTGGACACTAGTAACTAGTGTGATGTACCTAGTCCTTTGTTTAGTGAAAACTGTATTCTACCAGTCATGTTGTAGATACGCTTTACTGACGAGTGCCGACTAGCACGAAACCTAAGTTCAAAGCTTCCTGCTCATTGCCTTTAACCATCTAACAACATCAGCAGTCGGGGAATTCCTAGAAGCCTGGTACTCAAGTGTGAATTAGAAATTAACAAACACATTACTATAGACCAAATTTACCAGCTAATAAAAAGTAAATCGTAAGACAAGAAAGTTCGGATTCCAAGTCAATAAAAATATGATTAATAGAGACGTAGACTAACAACCAGCCAAGGCAATGGTTGTCAGGAGATACAAATAAATACGTTTCATGGAGAATTTAGATAAGTTTATTTCATACTAAAGCCTGCACTGAAGATGCTGTCTAGAAGGATGACGAAAGCTACGCAATTAAATCAATCAGTTCAGAGAACACGAATAATTCAATAGCATTCAGTATTACGCAGTTTTTTGAAGCTAAGTATGTATTTTATAAAGACATTAGAGATTAAGTTTGTCTTATGTATAATCTGTGCCACGCAGGTAATAGTTATCAGTTGAGGATTACTAGATGTCTGGTTTATCATATTTCGTTACTCTTCAACGTCATTTACTTTTTTATCGAAAGGTAGCATCATCATCACCGTCGTCGTCATCTTCGGCTAACTAATCTGAATACGTTAATTTTAACAACAAAGGAAGAATACACCCATAATAAGTTTAAAAGGAAAGACAAAACAAAATATGTATGACTATTCCTTACACTTATTATATATGTAAATCACATCTCGTTAGAATGAGAACTAATTTTCATTTCACCGGAAATCCTAAATTCATTAACCTAAAATATTGCCCATTCATTACTTCCTCACTTGAATTTGGTCAATCTAAAATTATCATTTACATGTTTCTATAAATTTATGCAAGGAATGTGAGAGTAGTGCTCAGTGAAAAAGAAAGCATAACCTTTAAAAAAAATAAATAAAAGTGAGGTCAAAAGTGTTGTACGGAATTATTAGTAAAGGTTTTAAATCTCCAGGATACTATGAAGTGTGTATGCCATAGCTGAATTATTTTAATTTATTCATAAAATATTTTAGGGGATTGATATAATAAACTGCCAGCGTATACAAGCATGAAGGCCGCTTACAAATCCATTTCATTTTGATACTTTGGTGTGATACTTCAGGGATGCAAATATCTGCTTAGTATAAGTAGTTAGATATTTATTTCCGATTGGCACCAAACCTATTAGAACTGTCGTATATCAGAGAACTTTGCAAGTTTTCTTCATGACAGGTTCGCCGAAGACACTGGCTAGTGGTAGCGCTATGTTGTGAATTGGCAGAAGTTGGAATTCATGCACTGGTCATTGGATCGAGTCCCAGTGGCTTAACAGTCTATGAGCTCACCTTGTAACCAGAAGGTCCTGGGCTCGAACCCCGCGGCGTGGGTGAGTACTGACGAAGAGTCCCAAACTAGGACGAAACAGTTGTCCAGTACTCCCACCTGGTTTCCCAATGGTTCTCTAACTGATGTCAACTTGCGATGAAATCCTGTAACCAGTCAACCGAATCCCTACAAATTAATACTTGAACATGACCGGTTTGTTAAACGTTACTTTCGGCATATTATAATTAGTATTCCCTTAGGTTCCTAGTGAAGTATATGGCTTTATCAGCACATCTCCATTTTATTTCGACTTTACACTGGCTCTTCAAATACCTATAAACTTTATTTAGGTCCTCTCATGATCACCTCCATATCACCGTCGGATACCCAACCTGCCGTTTCCTACTGGAGTCCCATTCGAGAGATTTTACTTAACGTTCTCCTTAGCATCCATCTTTTCAACCTCCACTTTCTTCAGCATATTTTTTGAGTTGCTCTTTTACCCAGAGATCCTTGTTTCTTATCTTTTTTAGTTATCTGATCTTTAGTGCGGAACCAACAATGGTAGGTGTCGATAAAAGTCTACACCCTATTTGAAATGCTTTTCCTGGCACTGGCGCCAAGTGTCTGAAGCATATAGAAGAACTGACTTAAAACTTTGGAGTTGAAAATCCAACTTTCTTTCTTGATTCTGAGTACAAGAGACTTCAGAAAATAATAAGCCAAAAGAGAGATATGAGAAAAAGATGTTCTTCATGAGAAATAAATATTCATTTTCAATATCTGAATTTGGGAAAATGATCTTTTTCTATAGTTGGTTTGTAAGGATTAGATTTGTTTTTACGAGTTGATCACGGATTGATATCAGTTAGAGAACCGTTGAAAACCGGGAAGGAGTACTGGACAGCTGTTTCATCCCAGTTTGGGAATCATCGGCAGTGCGCAGCTGTCCAGTACTCCTTGCTGGTTTTCAATGGTTCTCTAACTTATATCTCACCTTAAACCCCTGCAAATGCCAAACAACCAATTTCACCTTAAGGCACAAATCTGACCTAAACAAACTGGTTAGCACTCACGAGGTGTGCAACATTAATGGCACTGAAATAAAAACCAAGTCAGAAATTAATTATCTTGGAGTCATTCTATCTGCTGATCTTTCTGATCGTCTCATATCTTGATGATTTCTAAGAAAATATTCCGTCTTATCTTCTAAATCAAGAAGTTAAGATATTCTGGAATGATCTAACCCTTACTCCTACAATTTGTTAAGTCTCGCATTCTGCCTATTATTCTCTATTGTTCTCCCTTAGTTTTTCCAGGGCTACTGAAGAAAGACTATACCCAATTATGCAGGATGTTAAAGGTTGTCAGCAGGGTAAGCTACGTGCCACTTAACCAGCTTGTTAATATTCTGGTTTACAGTCACATGGACTAATGTGAAAAATGGGCTCAATCCATTTTATCTAACTCACACCACTGTCTTCATTCACAACTCTCCCCTTGTATCTCTTCAGGGAAAACCAGAAGCCTATACAGAAAACTATATGTTCGCACTAGTAAGTACAAAAACTCAACCATACCCTACCTAGCTCGTGTTCTGTGCGATAAAGAAAGCATTAGGCGTGATACTTATAGCTTATTAAATAGTCAGTAGAGCAATTGGATATCGTCTTTCCAACTCACATCATTTATATGTACAACGTTTTCTTTCTTTCTTTTCTTTTCTCTCTCTTTTTTCTGTTATGTGCAGCTTTGTTTCTTTCTTCTGCTTACGCCAGTAAATATGCTAGCATCTATTGTTCTAACACCTTCAAACACTCTGTTTAATTTTGGCTTTGGTACCGACATGCTAGTATGTTGTTGTCAAAACTGACTGAGATAACTTTAATCTATGTAGAACTTTTTTTATTGTTAACGTACTAACTGGATGCAATATTGTAGTAAAATGCTGAGAATTCCATTTTGTATCGCAAGTACTGTTTTGGAATAAAGCTATTATCATTTTTAATTCAAATAATTATAATATATGAATGATTATGGAAGAATCATTACATTGTTATTTGTTAACATTTGACAGATTTAAGTCAGACATTCTCTAATTTCCGATAAAAATACAAGAAAATACCCCCCGCTTCTGTGTTTCATCAAATAAAGAAAGTTAATTTTCTTTTCTTTTAAATTTGTGATATGGAGTCGAAGAAATCCCCAGAAGTGAATTCATGTATAAGTGAAAATATTAACGAAAAAAGCAGTTCTAAAAAATCATGTAAATCTGATATTTATGAAGATATTAAATTGATTGAAAATCATTTTGACTCTCAAACCAAATCAGAGAATGATGTTCCTTACCTTGAAAGTAAATGCCAAACAGAAACACAATTTAAAGTTACTTCTGTATCAGATATAGCACCAGAAACAAACAGTATAAATACTAGAAATGAAAATAGTTATTTAAGCAGAACAGATTTTCAAAGAATATCACCTTCACAACAAAAAATTTCATACACATTCCCGACAAGTTTACCTAAAGTTGATGGTGATTTTTTTGATGATGATGATGATGATGATAATGATAATGATCGTGATGGTGATAATAATAAACACTTATGGAGAAATAAAACAAATAGTTATGATTCTCGTACTTATAACATTTCAAGACATTTTATTGATTTTGAGGATAGTAGTAGTCAATCAGAGGCTTTTATATATCCTAAAACAAGTCATTCTATGCAATGTTCATTTGAATTGAAAAATTATAAACCAAACTTATCCATATATAAAGATTGGAAAAAATCTAAAGTTTTTAATCATAGAAATATTGTTGATACAGTATACAATCCAGTGGATAAAGTAAGTTAAATTCTCGTTGGTTTAATTTAACTTTTTATATTTACCGTTGGCTGACTTTATTATGTTCGACTGAAATATTAGGTCTCTTTGGCATTTGGAACGATGGGTGTTGGGTTTGAGTCTTCGCGGGGACAACAATAGTCACTGTGAACCGACAGAAGACAAGGGACAGGCAACAGATCGTTTATTGAGAAAATCAAAAGATATTTATAAATTTTTATGTACATTATTGTCAGTGGAAAAGCAACGTCTTCTGATTGGTTGTTTTCTTGCTGAGGGTTATTCTGTACTGCTTGTGACTGTTTCTTAGAAAGTTAAGCCATATGTCTACGAATCCTGTTTGTACACGTTAAGTCTGTTATGATTGGTTGGCGAGTTGCTGAAGCTTAAGCTTTGTTATTGTTTTTCTCATGACCCTGATTCCGGACGTAACACTGACATAAATTGCTGTCTACAATTTTGGCTTGCAACCAGATCTCATCACAGCTGGGGATATAGCACATTCGGATGACAGCCCCATACTCATCCAGAATCCCACTGTTGACCTCCATCCACCAAATAAAAATAAGTTAAATTCATTGATTCTCTTACATGCTATTTTCGATTATTTTTATCTTGGCTTAGCATATTAACTAGTTAATTGTGCTCAGGGTTGTGCAATATTAGTTAGACGACGTAAGACTATTCGGAGGAAACGGGTAGGTCTAGCATACTGTCATTATTTAATGATATCATTTAATAGAAATCAGGATTTACTTATTATCGTTTTCAGGATTTGCCAACCAAATAACAACAATTTTCTGTACATTAAGTAATTTTTCCTAAATGGCACTGAAACACTGGTCTTGTTTAAAGGTAATAAACATCATTTGTAAAACAAGAAATATATAAAACATAGAACACCATTTAAGCAGATATGTATTTTCGGTAATTTCTCGTCACTTTTGACAACTATGTTATAAAATATTAATCTCAGAAATTTGAAACCGATGTGCTTAATGGGCAAATGAATTAGTGGATTATTATTTGAGGTGATAATAATGATAAGGAAAAATTCATGCAAGTATTTATATTATCCAGGTGGCCAATCATAAAACCAATTGGCCAATAAGACCAACATTAGACATGTGTACCTCAGCACATTATGAAGTGGCAAGATGCCTGGGAGAAATATTTGAACCACTCAAACTGAAAGTAACTAAGTATAGCTTGAAGTTCACTTTCGAATATATAAAAAAAGTGAGAGATTACTATATCAACGGGCGAAGTTAATGTATCATAGCCAGAGTCAAGGTCTTTCAAAAGTTAACCTTCAAGAAGCGATCAAATACAGGGAATGGACTTGGAGAGAGTAGATACCGTATTCTATTTATTTACTGAGTACTTTTTCTCCAAATGTGTTCTGTTAGGTAAGGTTGACTTTTAAGGCCGAAGTTTAGGGTCTAGGATTAAAATTAGGATTATGGTTAGAGTTAGGAGTAGGTTGGAGAATAGTGTCAGAAATATCAAGGGATCTCTAAGTACCATTGTGGTGAGAGCAGGCCGTGAGAAAATATGTACAAGGCTGATTTAACAACCAATCACAGCAAAGTTAACGTGGCAAAATATGATTCGCAGATAGAGAACTCTATTTGTCGAGGAATCCCTAAACAACCAATCCGAAGCCTGCGTTTGTCTGCCTAACTTCTGATAAACAACCAATCAGATGACTGCGCTTGTCCACTTGCATAAGCTGTAATAATGTATGTGAAATATATATAAATACGTGTTGATTTTCATAATAAAAGGATCTGTTGCCTGGCCCTTGTCTTCTGTTGTTGCACCATGACCTACATTATGAGTAAATTTTTGTTTTGATAAAGTCTCACAGTGTTATACAGTAATGTTTACTGATGACGTTTCGAGCACAATTTATTGCTCATAATCATATCAAGGTAATCACACGACTTCCTAACTTCATTTATATAGTTCCATTGTTTTTCACTTGATCTGATTGGTAGTAGTGTTTTCCATATTTCGGGTATGAGTGATGAATCATTCCTATTGCATGTGTTGAGTGTAGACTCGATGAACAAGGATTCAGTAATCAACCTCTTTCTCCACCATATTGTGTGGTTGTGTGTTAATGCTGAGCTTTTTTCTAAATCACTTATCTTCTCGTGATCAACCATTCTTACTTTATAGCTAGATTCTTATGTTCTGACAATCTGACTACTCCTGACCTACTAGTTTGACCTATGTAGTTGACCTCACAGTCATTACAGGGTATTTTGTAACTGAATCCTTGTTCATCGAGTCTACACCCAACACATGCAATAGGAATAATTCATCACTCATACCCGAAATATGGAAAACACTACTACCAATCAGATCAAGTGAAAAACAATGGAACTATATAAATGAAGAAAAACAGTTGTGTGAATAACTTGATATGATTATGAGCAATAAATTGTGCTCGAAACGTCATCAGCAAACATTACTGTATAAAACTGGGAGACTTTATCAAAACAAAAATTTACCCATAATGGAATTACACTCTGCCACAGTGCATAAGTTTTATTCCTATATCAATGATACCATTACCTACAGCCACCTGGATGAATGGGTATATGGTGCATGACACAATTTCGCCATAGATCACCTGTGTAGTGACTTGGAAACATTATTGAAGCACATAACCTACAAATATACAATGTAGCATCATGTTTGCAATAATTTTTAGTGTATTTTTCAACGATTACGAGACTATTTTGCATCTGAGTTCTGACTGATCGTTCAAGGTCACTGTGGTTTTGGCTATGATAGTTTAACTTTGCCAATCAATGATAAAACAATGATTTCTATTGATATCACTTGCATACTAACCAAATCTTATTGCTACCTTGGTGTTTCGTGGTAGAAAAGGCTGCATAACCAAAACTCAGGACCATGAAATAAAGAAAATAGAAAACGCATAGTATGAGAACTGACATCCGGGAAAATTTGTTAGGGTCTCAGTGATAAGAAGAGATAGAAAGAACTGCTTGCCATTGGTGCAGAAGAAACGTATATATGCTACCGTTACGTTCAAAGGAGATGCAGCCATTGAATGACTGGTATCAAAATTTAGAAAATAATATCTAAAACGCTGTTTGCCTAAACAGTATGTCGTTGTATAGTTCCAATGCAGATAAAGGACAAACTACGAAGTCTGACCATTTCAATGTGCATATATAAATCTAACCGCTCTTGTGGAGATAGTTACATAGGTGGAACGACTAGGAAAGCCTACTATCGCCTTCTTCAGCACTGTCCAACGTGGTTATGGAGAGGAATTATAAAGTAAATCAGGAGTGTAGTTGAAGGAGTTGCCATAACATTTTTCAACCCAGTCTGTTTTTTCAGCAAACGTTTGTTCAATCCCTGTCTCTTCCATGGGCCTCAACGCCAACCTAGGATAGTCCTTCCCGGTGATACAGGACAACTGTAAATAGTATCTGTATTTGTTATGTTAATTATATCTTCATTTTCAATATCACACTGTACTATAATTGTATATTTTTTAATCTTAGTTTCACAATTTATTATCAAACCGATCACATACTACTTACAAATTCAAAAAGATTCACTGTCTAAATTGCCTAAATACTTTAGTCAATTTATCCTTAATATTATTATTATCATGATCATCTTGATTATTATTCACTAATTCATATGCTAAAATTTTGATTCTATTGGCCGTATTGACATCAAATATCTATGATTAATATTTCACTGTCTGATTGTAAATCCTAACGAAAAATGACCAAAAATACAATATTTGCTTAAATTACATTCTATAATTATCACGATAGTAGCATTTAAATCACAGAAAACCTAAAATAATTAGCTGTCAATTATTATTAGTTGTTGTGACAACTTGTAACTTTTCAAGGAAAATCATGTGTTCAAATTTGCATCACCAACTGTCACCAACTAGCTCTAAGGTATGATACAGTGACTTTTCTGCCTTCTCTTCCTTATATTTAATTTCATATCTTTTATTATCAAATGATACCCTTTATGGATGGCAAAATAATCTTATACAAACAGAGAATCTCTTTATTCTGCTCAGGACAACTTGGATACTAGTGCATACATCTTAATACCAAAACTCGGTCTGAATTGAAGTGAAATAAGTGAAATAATTTGTTATTATGCCTGAATGTCTTTTCATCTTGAGGCATTTAGGAGAGGTGTAAAAAGTTAGAAACAGATATCTGGGATTTATTTTTTCTTTACATGTCTATCCTCAATAATTTTCACCTTCGTTTAGTTTATGTCGATGAACATTAATCATAGTTGACTTGAGATCAGTCGACGATAGCCATTCCATATCGAAGGGGTACAGTTGAACATCTTTAAAGACTATTTGCTTCATATAATATTAAAGTCTATTTCAAGCCGTCTAACTCTCTAGAGAAAGTTTTGGTGAATGTCAAAGATATGGTTCCCAAAATGTCACAAAGTAATCACCAATTACCATCAACGGGGGTATTTGAATGAGGTTACTTCATTCACCACTTATCTAGGGAGCATTGTCTCAACTACAGGCAGTTGGAACGGACGAGAATGTCAAATCGAGCGAGAATCGGGAAGGCGAGAACACACACATTCATCAACCTGAAACCAATCTGGAAATCTTAGTCACTCAGCTTCAACAACAAAATCCGATCGGATTTTCAATACAAACGTCAAGGCAGTCAGTTCTTCTATACGGATCGGATGAGAAACTTGGCGGGCGGGTCACAAAGAATATTTCCAACAGCCTGTTGCAGAACTTCATCAACAACTGTCTTCGCTGGATCTATACTGAAGATTTTTTCTTCCTATTAACTATCGATATTTTAGCATTTTATACATTTATATAATTATAAACAGAGCTAAACCATTGCAATATGTAAAAGAAACGCTGAAAATTCCATGCTGTAAATTGTTATTGTTGTGGAATAAAGTGATTATTATTATTATATCAGATAGCCGGGCCGGAAAGAATCACCAACAAGAAACTCTGGATGGGATCAAAATAAACAAGAACCAATCGCCCAAAAAATATGCAGGAGAAAGTGGCGATCAATTGGAAACTCGCTGAGGAGACCGCTGGGTGACATCGCACGCGTCAGTCCATTGCTCGAGTGGAACTAGGCCGAAAGGGAAGCGGCGAGTGGGACGTTAGTGCAAGGGTGACATGGAGGAGATTGTGTGAAGAGGAGTTGAAACAGTATGGACTAACATGGATGCAGGTGAAAAGTACAGCAGAAGGAATACAGAAGCAAGTGGAGACGTGTAGTTGAAGCCCTATGTTCCACTCGGAACCCAAGGGAACAATAATAAATAATAATAAATTATGTCTATAGGATAAAGTGTTCAGAATGTGAAGCTTGCTATTTAGAGGGGAGCAGTACACGGAAATGAAGTAGAATCAAAAAGCCTAGAGAAAGATCGGCTATAACAATACATGTGACAGACAGCGGACATAAGATTGACTTCGACAATGTCAAAATTCTCGGGAGAGGATTTCATTCATATAAAGAAAGGTTGAGCTCTGAAGCCTTGTACACTTTTACCACATCGAATGCAGTAAGTAGGAAAGAAGGGATAGACTTCTCACCTATGTGGCAAACTATAATGAAGTGAAACAGATGAAAAGACAACAAAAGCCTCTATGAACCTCCATGACCTTTAACAAATGTTTATCACATGTGAATTGATGTCTTTTCCATATGACAAATAACATACACTCATACAGAAATAATGATGGATACAATAACAATTTGACATTAGTTATTACAAATATACGATGACTGCTTACATATTTTTATCGGTAAAAATGTCTATCGACGAGTGACCTTCAACTAAACTTCAATTTATGTAAAAAATTTTGACTATATTTCGATGATTAATAAAAATCCGAATAATTCTACTGAAGAAGCTGTGGCTTACACACCGAATCCTTCCAAAACAGATCTTGTTTCCACTATTTATTTAAGTAATTTATAATAATTCAATGATTTATTATTTTGAATAATTTATAATGATTCAGTTTGACTAGGCGCTCAAATTATTCCTGAAGGTCGTAGCACCTACGGTCTGGAAACTTATAAGCATATATTACTTTCTAAAATATCAGTAGCTTGGAAAAATTGTTTAAATAGTTGACTGGCATAGTTAGCTTGATTCGATTCTGAAGCAGTGTTTAAACACAACTGTTTAACTTATTTATGCTCAAATTTTATTTTGCTAATCTCCATCAAAGATTCTTTTTTATTCTAGGGAGTAACGGAAATTTAATATTTTGTGCGTGAAAATTAGTAATTAGTTTTATTAAAACTTTTCGCTTTTAATTTTTTTAATATTTCTTTATGCAAAAATGACTACCGTTTCCGAATTATCTTAAAAGTATGGTAATTTGGTTTTCGACCCTAAAAACTGTTATAATTTTTTGACTGTTTAAGTCAATTTGAAATAATGAACGAAAATGAATTTATTAATCTCTGAAAATATTATTAATCTTACTTTTTTCGGTAATACTAAATATTTTCAAGTGATGGCTTACAGAAATTCAGTTGAATTCAGATTTGATCACCAGCTGATGTAGGCTTATATTAATTTGGATCTGTACATAGATACATCGTATTGCAGAACTCTTTTTTACTCAATTTTTCATAGCACATGACTTCATCCCAGTGAAGCATAATTTCCCAATAAAATTAAAAGAATTTATGTCGTAATAACCGATAGATAATTCAATTAACTTTTAGTGAAGAATCATGTTGGCTGTTTCTTTTTTCCAATTCTGTGAATCCCAAGTGGAACATACGGCTTCAAACTTCAAGCTCCAAAGTTGGTGTTTTTTTAACCGGATGGAGTTGCAAGTCTCACGCCAACCTTCCGTCTTTTTTGGGATGACTTGCGGCTAAGTGAGGTTTATAAGTGTATCGACCAGAAGGAAAACATACTGAACATTCTACCACCATAAATCATTGACGTGCATGTCTGTTATTTAGAACATACAGTCAAATACGGTGAATCGTTTCTAAAATAATTGAGACGATATTTATTGATACACCAAGATTCTTATTAGAAAACAAATCGACGAGACAAAAGTTTCACATTCTTAATACATATATAGTTCACAGAAAAGGAGATGAAACTCTGTTTTAATTCATGAATAATCCCCATCTAGGCATTAATGAAAACAAAACACGTAGTTCAGCGAAAAGTCTCTTTTCGGCGGCGAATTCATTTTCTTAGCTTCATAATCACAATTTTATATATGAGTTATTTTGTATGCATGTGTGCATTAAGTTTGTCAAACAAACTACAATTGGTTATGGTTTTTTTAACTAAACAGGTGAAAATTAGTAAGTTTTGGGTAGAGTTGTGTCATACAAACACTGTCAAGAAAATTGGGTGTTAATGAAACTAGAGTAGTGAGAAAGGTGATGAATTGTCACAAACAGTTGTTAAAAAAGAGTTACGTAGTAATGTGGATAGTTTGATGATTGAGTTGTAGTCAGGATAAACATAGGAACAAAAAAGAGAACACAAAATTACCTAATACTTCTAAAAGAATACAAGAATTATAAGCAATTAAAGAAACAGGCAAACAAACAAAATTAAGTCATCAAAAATCAAGAAAGTTGTTACCATGATAGTAGAATTGGTTGAGTAATTAATTCTCTTTTGCATTCACAGCTCCGGTTTTTTTCTCTGTGAATGGCCAGAGCTTCAGTGATACAAAGAAGATGGAATCATATTGCCTTTGGTAGGTTATTCTTGACTCTGTAGATTACTTTGAAGTAGGAGGCATTCGTTGAGATGGAATGATCAGTGTTAACCAGGTGTTCAATTATCGCACTACTTATAGTACTATTCTGTTCATTGAATTAACTTTATAAAGATACTCCCTCATCCTTGTATACTGTTTTAGCAAAAAAAATAACCTATCTTTTACTAAACAATTTATCATTTAAGAATATCAAACTTTTCATGAGAAAATAATCTATAAAAAGTAATACTTCATCACTATAATTAAACTATTTACATTAGTGTAACAAAAGTATGAAACACAGGATTTAAAAGAAGTTAGGCTTTATGATGGAAAGTTTAAAAATTGTGGGAAAAAAGTTTAATTTCAGTATCACCTGTTTTATAAATTTGATTGCTTAGATCATTAGGCCTAAAATATGTCAGGAAAAAAAGTCTATACAACATCAAACGATCTCAGTTTTCAAGTATTGGTTTGTAGGAATTTTGATTGATTGATTACAAGATATCATCATGAACTGACATCGCTTAGAGGACCATTGGAAAACCACCTGGGAGTAATGGACAATTGTTTCGTCCTAGCTCTTTGGGACTCTTCATCAGCATGCACCCTCACTGCAGGGGTTCGAACCCTTCTGGTTACAAGGCGACCTAGATCGTAGATCATTTTTAGTCATTGGGAGCCGATCCAATGGCTAGTCTATGAATTTCAACTTCTGTCGATTCACGACCGCTAGCCGATGCTTTCGGTGAGGATTTGTCCTCACTACCGATCTGCTGTTTTATCTCCATTTTTTTTAAAGAAAAGGAGGTGAAACATTTACAGCTGAAAATGTATTATCACATTCCCTAGTGCACTTTTGAATGCACTCAAACATATATATATATGTATTGTAAGTTAGTTGGCCACTATGAAAACAATTGCACATAGATTTTGTAATAATAACCAATAAAATTTTGTTATCACCTCGTTCATTGAATAGAAAGAAGAAAAAAAAATACTTCGTCACCAAGAGCAACAATGTTTTCAAAGTTGACGTTGTTAGGTTACATAACCTAAGACACAATTTGATCGAATGAAAAACGAGATAAGCTGTGATATTAATTATCTGACATATATATATTTCTTAAAGATTTCTAAAACATTCATTAGTTGATCACTTATCAATCAACTTGTTACATCGATTGTATTCAAAAATTCGAATGAGTGATATAACATTATCAGAACCATCAAAACGTCGTGGTGAAGTAAGTCAATTTCTATTTGATCATGTAAATGATGAATATTGGTCGATAAATGGTGCATTATAGCGCTTAAAGTTATGAAGGTCAGAAAAGTGTTAAATATTTGTTTTATCTTAAAGAAGACAATTTCATACTATAGAGTGCTGAAACTAAACTTATTTCTTGATCTGATGCCCTTGAACCTTTTATGACGAAAATATTTTGCAAAGCAGTAAAGTGAAATAGTCGATACCTTATCTATGAACTAAATTTTGAGAAAATGCCTTTCCAGGCTTTGAGCTTTGAAATTTTAGAGGCCGTAGTGGGTTTTTTCGGAACTTAAGGTTTCTAGCCTCACACTCAACCTTCCACTTTTTCTGGACTGACCACCGACTAACAAACTAGACGAGGATTAGGAATGTGCCGGCTGGGTTACCGAACTCAGACTACCAGCATGGTTGACAAACCACTGACACAGTGAAATAATACCACGAGTCTATAATTTCTTGTTCAGGAATCTGAAGTCAGAATTTAGTGCAGAACAGTTTCGGTTTCTATAAGTGGTAAATTCAAAGGGTGGAAGTGTAGAGTGCATATTTGTACAAATTAGTAAGTTATGGCCAACTATTTACAACATCCTAAGTTGCATGCGCGTTCATCAAAAGAAATGCTTGTTATAAAAAGATTATTAGGCAGAACAAGGAATTGAATGAAAGCAGATATTCTCTGTACAACGCTTCAGACTCATTTTGGACTAAGATGGCACCTCACACCGTTTTATGTCACTCATATCACACTACTCCTCTGCTGATATGAAGACTTTTCACTGATTGAACACGGATGACTGGATCACTCACATGTGCGTCGGTGGCACAGTGGTTATGACACTCGCCGATCATGCACATGGTCTGGGGTTCGATCCCCTGCCGATGCACACCTGATATCTATGGTTGGCCTGCAAAATTTGGACTACCGATATTACATGCTGAAAATTGCATACCTGTACCGAAAATACGGTGTGGAATAAAGCTGTAATCAAAAATAAAATAAATACATTTATCTTGTAGTATGTAATCCATTATATATTACTAAAAAGCAACGACCATGACATAGATAGAAAAAGGTATTTGCAAAGCATCCGTGCACATTGAATATGTTTGACAAAAACTTTATTAAAGACATGTCAGAGAGATAACATCAAATGTCTGTATAGACAAGGTTGATAACTGAGAAAGATTAACAGTTCTTCACTGCTACTTGTATTCAGATAATTCTTACGACACAACTTTCTATTTTATCATTAAAACTAACATAAACATGTTAATTTAAGCTATTCCATAAAACGTTTCAGCTCAGATCAATAAAAATTACACTTAAATCAAAAAATATAAGCTAAAAAAGATAATGAGATAAGTAGATTCATAAAATTTTTAGTTGTCGTGATGATGATTCGCTCAAATTTTCAGGTAGTACGTACTGACAGTCTCTTTATCTGAGAGATAATTGCTATTCATATTTTACCCCATTAGGCGGTATATGTGATTTCTGGCGATTGTCAACAATCTATAGAGTCACGTACAAGTTTAAAAATCATAAACTTATCTGGATAGAATAAGAAATAATAGCTCCCATTTTTAGATTCCAAATGATTTCGCACATCTAAAAATCAAATAGATAGCTGAAATTTATCTATACTTCTAAATAATTAAATAGGTGATTTTGTGTTATTGAAGGTGGAATGACATTCATTCATGTTTTACCTTTATTAGGGGCTAATACGTCGAGAGAATTGGCAAAATAGGTTAGTCAGAATACATCTAGTACATCCGATAGAATTTATATCATACAAAGGAGAGTATAACGACTTCAGAGGTCTATTAATGAACAGAACTCCCTAAAGCGTCATTAAATTCACTTTTCTCTTATATTGATTCACATCTCGGTAGTCAGAGTCTACCGGTCTAAACATCCAACATGGATTTTTTCACTACTATTTCAGATAAGTTTTATTCAAAAGGAAAATATTTGGAGGCTGATTAAGTATTATATGCAGGGAAACTAAAGAATTTATTAAGCATTACAGTGTACAACAACAATTTCATTGAAAGAAGTGAACATTTATGACAATATTGTCGAAGACTATGTATGACATTTAACCCCTTTTTAATGAAAAGCTATCCTAAAAACCTAGTTTCTTTTAGTTCCTTATAAGTTTTTATATTCACCTTATCATGCGGTCATGGGTTTGATTAATTAATTCCATTTGGAGATAAAATAAAAGTACTTCTATTCAAAAATAATTCAGTATGTTGGTGAAAGGCACTAAGTTTATAAAAAGACGAGTTTTTGGATTCATTGGAATAAATGTGTCCAACTTCTGTTTCAGTTACTCCTCTTGCATGTTTGGACAGCGTAGAGAAGTGTCTTATGCCGCTGCATCATTGGAACTCTAGATATAATCTCATGTTTTATACAAGGAGGAATATAATAGTACTTACAATTAGTAGTGTTCTCTGAGCTGGTTGGTTTAGTTGCGGAGCTTTCATCGTTCTTCTGGACAATATTTTCAGCGCACTTTTTAGCATAAGGTAAACTAATTTAAATTTTCCATGAGTGGTAGAATTGCTTTTCCTGGTAACCCTCTGAGCTACAAATCTTTTCTATTATAATAGTACTTAGTTTGAATTTGTCAAAACAGGCATCAGTGGCTTAGCGATAGAATGCTCGCCGACCATGCAGGTGTTTCAGGGTTCGATCCCCGGCCGAAGTACTCCTTTACCTCGCTAAGGCAGTAATAAAACTGATAAAGAGGGAGGGTTGGGTATGAGGCTAGCAATCCCATCCTGTAAAAATAAACACCACTACCGAAACTTCAAAGCTGTAGTTTGAAGCCCCGTGTCCCACTAGAAACTTAAAAGAATTAAATTTTCTAAAAATGATTGTCCAAACTGCTTGATAAGTATGAGATCAGGACTGAGCATGTGTTACATATTGAAGAGAACAGTATCAACAGGCCATTCCAATATCAAGTTGAATTATACCCATTAAGATTTGAAAACTCTAATATTTCCGTACATATCCATCACAGCTGCGGTAAGCTGACTATGATTACCCGAAAAAACTTTAGTAAAAGATGATTTTAGGATAGTTAGATTTTGCACGCATTTTTACAAAATGCTTAGTGTGTAACAGTAAATTTATTATCTGAATAAAAAACTAAACTGTCGATTAGAAGAGTTTTTGATAACACTTTACATAATCTAATATAAAAAAGCAGACGATAAGTGGCCTGGAAATAATGCCACAAAATAAATAGATACTACGGTTTAAAACTCATTTTTATGATGAATTTAGTGGTTACTACCAATGTTATTAAATCGGAAATTGATAACAACAAGGCCAGAAAGGTTACAGCAACATGATGTATTGATGCCAACCTTAAGAAATAGTTAATAATTATACGATGAAATCAAGGTCTATAATTTTTTTGGAATTAACATTCAGAGGATCCTAGATGAATGCCCTCGGTCAGATTTGAATGACTTCACACTATGGACTACAAACGTGGTACTTGCAGATAATCACTCAAAACTTTTAAATGAAACAGTGACAAATCCAAAAAAGCCAAACATATTTAACTATACTTCATCATCCACTCATGGGTATCATCAGTATAAAGTTTCAACTTTGTTCTCGATTTTCCTTTATCGAAAATATACTCAAAGCATTAGAATTAAAGTTATGCATATTGTTATTAAAGAAAATACAAATTAGGTTCGTTATCATGGAAAAGTTGTAGTAGACCTAGGTATTGTATTATCTGAGGAATTAATGTGTGCTGTGAATTCAAAAGCCATATTTAGGTAACAGCGCCGTTTAGAATTATATAACCGTTATGAACTTATTGTGACAACAAAGAAGAGAATTCTTCGAAAGGACTATTTAAAGTTATTACGTCACGAGTCTCGTAGAATTAGCCTAACAAGGTGGAGGTATTGATGGATTACTAGTTTAATAAATACACAAAGCATAATCGTATTACTGAATAACGTATAAAGAAATTGGATAGGAGTTGTGTAATGACGTAATAATTTTATCTAAATGTGCATAAACACAAATAAGTTCCTGCTTCTTCATTTTTCTCTCTGATATCTGTGGTTAATGATGCTGATGTGAAACAGGTTAGACTGATAAACAATGTTCATCTTGTAAAATAAGTCAAAGAGAATAAATGAATACTTCGTCGTTATAATGCATCAGTATGAAAATACACACACACACACCTGGAACCACTCATGAAATCACCCTAAAGGATATTTGAAAACGCCATTACTCCTATTCTCTAAAATAAATAAACTTTATACAAAAAATACAAAATTTACATGAAATAAAAGGTTATTTGATGCGTAGGGTAATGTAAGCACAATAATTAAGAAATATCACCCACTAAATGGTGATTCCATACGTTGATGGCACAGTGGTAGAATGCTCGCCAATCATGCATGTGGTGCTATCACATCATAAAGTCTTATTTATATTTTTGATAAACTTTGGTTTGTTTTTCGTAATCTTTCATTTATTTACTAAATTTGAAAACTTACCCTATACATAAACTGTGTTCATGTATATAGTCGTATAGGATAAGTAATTTGGCCATATATATATATATATATATATATATATAGAGGGACACAGTTTATCTTCGAATACGATCCTAATGAGATTCATTTTTATGCGGTCGATTTAAAGTACAAAACCTTTATCCCTTTCCTGTTAATTCTTCTACATTTATAATTCACACTTTAAAGGAATGATATATATATAATATCATGTGTTCATGTATGCATTAAGTGTATTATCTAATTAATCTATGCTAAATAGTAATGATAATAATAATGCCATAACATAATTAATGTGTATAGAAATAATAAAGATTAATCAAAGCAGAATTTTCACTTTACCCAACCTATATGTTAAATGATAAATAATAAATTGGACTTGAAAACTGGCACTGAGGAAAAAACATTTTTAATGAATTCTATGATAGTTAAATGTTTATGAAAGTTTATCTGTTTTTTTTTCATTATCAAGGGATTAATTTGATGACCTTTAGAAATAAAACCCTTTTTATTACGTAATAGTCAAAGACTTCCAAGTATGTACAGTTAAAACAAGCAATAAAGGTTAATAAAGCAGGATGATTTAATGAATCCATCAAATTTCTGTAGAACTCTTCAGCTGAATACTCTACATACATGGATATATATACTATTGCAGTTACATTGGGAGATATAAGCCTGATAAGCAAATAGACTACATTGAATTAGTCATGCAGAGAGACATATGCGAATATTTTCCAGGTCATATACAAATAGATAAGGGGAGAGAAAGTATGAGAGATCAAAATTAAGATAAATTGGATTACGCTTCAATTACATCACTTAGATAAACAATTAGTCATTAGAGAATATATCAAGAATTGCAAACAGAGTAATATTCATAGTAATAGTTATAATAACAATAATAATAGTGTTAAAGTGAGTTAAGATAATCCTACTGATAGAAGATAGCTTTAAGTGAATCAATAATAATAAGAGGTAGAATAATAAATAAAACGTATTACCATGGTAGATTCAGAGTGATGGTCATCTCATTTTGTACACACAGACATGGTTTATAAACTCGAATCGCACGAGACTCGACAGTCGCAATCATCTTTCTGTTTCTTAGTCTGCTAACAATAGTGAGTGGTTTAACAACGTCGATATCATGTCCATAGTCGACAAGATGTTTTGTTAATGAGATTTTTGGCACTTTGCATTCAGCTGCTTTCAACCACTTTGGAAAATGCTCCATCATGTGAGTAGACAATCGCCTTCCTGTACGACCTATGTATTTGTTTCCTCACACAAACACACTCAAGTTGATATACGCAGTCTGAAGTGTTGAGGATTGGCGACTGGTCTTTCCCATTTAAAATACATATATTACCCAATACATATATAATCCTTACATTATGGAAGTTCACGTTAACTATGATCGTAGTTTTTGCTAAGCATAAAGAAAATTTTCAAGTATTGGTTTTGTAGGGATTTTGTTTGATTGCATGGAGGATTTCATCATGAGTTGACATCAGTTAGAGAACCACTGGTAAACCTGGGAGTACTGGACAGCTGTTTCATCCTGTTTTGGGACTCATCATCAGTACGCACCTACCGGGGTTCGAATTCAGGACCTTCTAGTTACAAGGCGAGCTCGTAGACCATTGAACCACTGGGACCCGATTCAGTGGTCCTCGAATTCTAACTTCTGCCAATTCACGACATGGCGTGACCATTTTGCAATGTTTTCTTCGATCAGTTACTGCCTCATCTTCCACCTGCTGTATCCTACTGGTCACGGCTTCTCACTAGAAACCCAGGTTATCTGCCTGAATAGGGCCAGTAGTGAAATGAAATTTATTTTAATGAGCCCAACTTTTGACGATATTAACAACGGTTTTATTCCAGACAATGTAATCTTTTTTATTATTGTAGAATTGGAAATTTTCAGCATGTGATTTTACAAAACCCTCCAATGTCTATACATTTTTTTGTGAAACAGAAATAGTAATTATAGTAGTGCACAGTTGTACTTCACTTCCAATGATAAAAATACTAGTTTGACATTTTGATGAATTAAGAATTAAAAGATTATTTAGAGGTAAAAGATAGCCATCATTCTATCTTAAGAAATCACTTGGTTGATGAAGCAGTGAATGGCATGAATTTGTTATCAGAACGTCAAGTCAGTTCTTCTATACAGATCAGAAACTTGGAGGGCGGGTCACAAAGAATATTTCCAACAGCCTGTTGCAGACCTTTATCAACAACTGTCTCCTCTCTATACTGAAGATCAGATGGCCGGGCCAGAAAGAATCCCCAACAAGAAACTATGGAAACAAACAAAACAAGAACCAATCGTCCAACAAATATGCAGGAGGAGGTGGTGATGGATTGAACACTTGCTGAGGAGGCCGCTGGGTAACAAATTGTGTCAGGGCCTCGAGTGGGACCCGAAAGGGAAGAGGCGAGTGGGACGTCGGTGTAAGGGTGACATGGAGGAGATCGTGTGAAGAGGAAATGGAACAGTATGGACTAACATGGATGCAGGTGAAAAGCACAGTAGAAGACAGAAGCAAGCGGAGACGTGTAGTTGAAGCCCTATGTTCCACTAGGAACCAAAGGGAACAATAATATAATAATAATAACCCACAGAAATAGCTCATATCATAGAATATGTCTAAGCCAGTCTACAAAACAAGATAAGTCTGCTATAAAATCAGAAGGAGAAATAGATCTAACTTGATTTCCATCATAAAACAACTTCACCTGAAGTTAACATAAGTTTAAAAAAGGAGTATTCACCAAAATTTAATTATTAATTCTTTTCTAAATATTTTACTAATTTTTTCAAAACATTTTATTTATTATTTCACTAAGGATTTCGGTGAATCATGTGAAGAAGATTCAATCGCTGGCTTAAGTCTACCAAATGTTACGCATAATTTAAATTTGGATAATCGTGATTTAAGACGGAAGCTGGATGAAGAATTATCCACTTATAAACAAAGGCTATCCGCATATCAAGAAGGACAACAGCGTCAATCAAATCTTGTTCAACGACTTCAATCTAAGGTTAGAAAAGCTAACATAGTCTGTATTTATCACATTCACAGCATAGGGTACTTATTCTGAAGCCATATTCAGTCAGTACAAAGTATTAAATGTCCCATTTATTCGCTTTGGAATATATTCACAAATTTAATTTAATTTAGATAAATTGACTAAATGACTGAATTTCGATGTACAGCTTTGCAGAGAAGTCCAGGAGGTCAAGTCTCCTCACCCCGTGTAGCTCACAAGTAGAGAGAGTGGAGAAAAAAGAGGTTCTGAAGAACCATAATATTCACATGGATTTAATGGATCTGAAAGACTACACAGAGGAAATACATTTATACCAGTGAAAATGTTTTAAGCTATATCACTTACTGTACTAAATTGTGTGACATGTTTAGTGTTATACTTATCAGCTGACTAGTGAGATTTGATTAGCGGTAAATTTAATGCAAATTACGCATTAATAGTCAATTTGCATTCAAGACAAAAACCTGTATAACTCTTGAATTATTACTGTTTTTGTCTTAGAAACCTTTTTTTTCAAAGCATTTCATACTCACTTTTTTTAAATCAATAAAAAACTTCTACAGTTTTATTACTAATTACTGTTTTCAGGTTTTACAATACAAAGAAAAATGTCGAACACTTGAACTCAAACTACAAATAGCTGAAACTGAAAACCAAAACAGAAAGGTAAAGTATTTGTCAAATATGCCCTATAAGCGACTACTCTTATCAGTTTTTTTTTCTAGCAGTTAAGTTCAGTAGGTATACATTAATTCAGAAAATATATTCTACAGGTGGACGACATCTCCACTGAATGACTTAATTTTGAGAAATTAAAACGTTCTGCTGAGTTTCAAACACTTTGAGGTATCTGGGCTGAAGTATTTCACTGATAAATAAAACTGGAGCCCTATTTTTTCATTCTTCTGCATTCTGAGTAGAACATATGGCTTCGCCCATTCAGCTTTAGAGTTTCGGTTGCCATGGAAATGTTTTAACGAGGTAGAGTTGCTAGTCAAACACGCCAAAACTTCCGTCTTCACCAAGCCTACTACTGGCTAGGTGAGGTTAATGATTGCGTCAACTGAGGATCGAACCCAGACCTCCTGTGTATCTGACTGGTATTCTACTCCTGAACCGCCGACGCACAAAGTGTTGTCCAGTAGGTCACAAAGGCCACGCACTTAAGTTTATGATCAATTTTTTCAAAATAAAATGAAAATAGTTTGCAGGCTTTATAATTTAAGATGAACACGGAATACCTGTTGATTTAAAGCCTAGTCATAAACGTATTATTATCAGAGCGTTATTTTCAGATCTACTAAGACCTATACGGTAGTACGTTACCTAATTATTGTGTGGAAGATCCAAAGAGTGTTGTGTGCCATATACGTAAGCCTTGCCTTAATATTGTTTGCTGTTAAGAGGTGGCTCATTAACTTAAGAGCTCGATTTAACACAGAAATGAAGATAATGCAAAAAGTTTGTACCTTTAAATTACCTAAACAATAATAATGGCTTTACTCCAGACGGTACTTTGGAGACAATATGGAATATTTCAGAAGGGCATGTAGTACAATACTGCATCGAATTGTCTCTCTTTATATTACATAGTAAGAGGAGAAATAATTAACGGAGAATTTACATGAATAATAATGTCAATAAAATTATGAATATAAGATTAAAATTAAGAAGAAATATTGAAAACAACATACTAATTATAGAAAGAATGAAAAGGGTAGTTTAAACACCGTTTCTCAGTAAGTTTATAGTGTCATACCTCTCACCGTTCTTTCATTTCATAAAACACGTGACAAATAAGGTATTGTTGATTTTCTCGTACTTAGTTGTCCGAGCATAAAGTGTTTTATAATTGCTGCTAGTCCTACCTGATGAGATGCAAGGAGACAGTTGCATACAGGGAGATGCTCAGAGTCCAATAAGATGATATTCTTCAATTCTTCGGCTGACTGACTGTTTCAAACATAGAACTTTGCACCAATGTGTAGCAGTCGGACTGCCACACTCCATGTAGCAATAAAAGCAAGAGAAAGTAAAAAGAAGTGCAAAATAGAGACAGTAAACAGATATAAGTTAAAAAGAATAGTAATATCGAAGAACAATATAGTTTTATTGGGTCACAAGGAGTGGATGCATCTCCACCGCCCATTGAGAACGATTTTGAGCCATATCACCAATTGGTTTTTACCGTCCTGAGGACCCCAACCGGGAAGTCTACACCTTCCTACGTGACTGGCTTGAACTAACTGTTGTGAATTCGATTGACTGATGAAGCCATGTTTTGGTTCGACCACCACAGGCTCTTCCCCAACCTGATCCTATGTCAGTCAGCTAACACTGCCCGTTGAGGAAAGCTATGGCTAAGCTAGGCATGCGTAACACATGTCCTAACCATCTCAGTCGATGTAACTTCCCAGCCTCGCCGATTGATTTCCCCTCCCACCTACCTAGCACTCGACGAATGCCTCACCTCGATATTGCTCACCTTATTCTACCACCACCTAACATGGGAGATGGAACGAAGACACATATGATCAAAGATAACTAGCCGGTCTTTTCGTATCTATCACTTTCAGTGGCCGTGTCTCACAGACATATAGAAAGACTGGGCGGACTGCTGAGCAGTACACACGCCCTTTGGTCTATTGCCGGATGGCAAATACTAAACGAGCCTTCTGTATCCGTTCTGAGATTTCGTCAATGATCTACTCGTTTTGGTTGATGCAACTTCCCAAATAAGTGAAGTGGTCAACGCGCTCTGCCACTTCACTCTTTGAATGAGTTCAAGGGTCTATCCACAGTGGTGATAACGAGTTGATTTAGAAACACTCTACTTGCTCTAATGACAGCTTTGACTTTCCTCCGCAATGCAGCAAAGTCTTTTTTAAGTATGTGAGGAAAGATTAACGAGGACCAATAAAGAAGAATAGATAGAATACATGAATTAACTAACTTTAAAAGTAAACACTGAGTGATACCAAACTGTTTTAACTTTCTCACCTATAAAGTTACACGAAATATCGTTTCAGACATTAACATTGATGTGGAAAATCCAGGAAGGATTAGAGGAAAGACAGATGTCTTCCTTCCAAAACTTTTCACATCAAAACTCCTCAGAATAGGATTACGCAACCCGTATGAATAGGTAACAATTGTATACGAATTTAGAATTCATTTTTGCACAGATGACAGAAAAATATTTATACCTAAAATAACATTTCAATGAAAAAGTAATTAAGGGAGATCATGTTCTATGGACTTGACGTAACTTGATTCAACTTAGGTAAGAGAAATTTTGCTAAGTGTTCCTACTTCTACAAAGTATCCACTAATAGTCTTTCAAGTAAACAGATAAAAAAGGTATCAACCACATAATCGTAATTGGTACACTTATGACGGATCAAGCTATCTAAGTGACCTTAAATAATAACTTCTTAAAAAAATTTAATAGTGTACCCTAAGACGAGTATGCAGGGGACAAACCAATCTAGTGATTAAAGTTAACCCGCATTTATCATTTTATTATTATTATTATCATTATTATTAGTGTTATTATAAAAAGCAAATCCGATTATCAACTTTATATTAAACAATAATTTGCAAAATAAGAAAAAGAGAGTTAAGATACACATAAATTTTAACTACCTCACAGTAGGATCACTGTTCAACTAATAATTACTTAAACTGATAATTATGGAAAATAAAACGTTGAATTCTACTAAATCTTCTTCTCTTGCACTCTCTCTCTCTCCTTCTCTCTTTGGCTCTCTTGGGTCATCAATTAATCTGATAAATAGGATATAAATATTTTTATTTATTTTGGTTTCAATTTCTGAAGATCCTAAATGCTTAAGTTTTAAAGGAAAATAAATTTGCTAAAAGTAAACAGCTTACTGGATGATATTCTGAATTTAAATAGAAGAAATTAATGGTAAATGTTATCAAGTTATAAAAGCTAGGATGACTTAACATCAAAATCTAAAAATTCATTGATTGTGATAGGCAGAAATGAGAGAATTATTTGTCTTTAAGTTAGTTATACTGGAATGAAATGCTTAGTCTCAGTTGAGATGCCGACTGTTAGCATGAACGCTTCAACTATATATCTTAGGATTAATGTGATGTTATTTTTGGTTATTAATGATGGTAATGGACAAAGCGCATATCCTTGATTCTACTGCTAGTCACCATCAATCAAATATTTGAGAAAAGGTATTAAAAGTAAAGATCTCTTCACCATAGATAAATTTAAAAGCTCACTGATTTCAATGACTTTGGTTAACTTAACAAGTATGTTTAGATTGTGTAGAGTTAGGTGAAACATGAAACTTTATTTTTGACACCACAGTAAAAACTAAGTAAGAAATAGCCAGTCATACGATAAAATGAACTATAAAGGAAGACTTCGCGAATTCATGAACTTCAGTAGAGCTTCAAAACTGAATACTCTACAAAGGTGATTATGTACATATCTACGTTCGTGTCTTAGTGGTAGAATCTAATGCTCACTAGTGAATGGCCCTATTCAGGTAGGTAGTTACCTGGGTTCTAGTGGGAAGCCGTGACCAGTTCAGTATAGCAGATCGAGTGTGAGGACAAATACTCGTAACCGATGACATTCGCTGGTGGTCGAGCCATATCATGAATTGCCATAGGTTGGAATTCATGACCTGCCTATTGAGTCGAGTCTCAGCGGCTTAATGGTCTACAGGCTAGCTCGTCTTATAACCAGAAGTGGGTGCGTACTGCAAAAGAGTCCCAAACTAGGATGACGAAATAGTCGCTCAGTACTCTTAGGTTTTCGAGTGGCCACCTAAATAATATCGGTTAATGACGAAATCCTCCAACCAATCAATCACCTGCAAATCAAATTTGAATTATTGGTAGAATTTAGCCACTCACCTAGATGGTCTGGGTTCGATCCCCCGCCGACTCATTCCTATTCCTTGTCTAGTCTACTAACCGACAATAAAATTAGAAAAACATGGAAGGTTGAACTTGAGGGTGACAACCTTAAACCGTGAAGACAACTCCACTGCTACTGGAACTTAAAAGTTTGAGACTCTATGTTTTATTAGGAACGAAGGAATTATAGGTGTATATTAGAGACTAAGAAAGAGGTATAAACACAAGGGTGGGTCAGATTTTAACAATTCAAGTGAGTATGCCACCCTATGTTCCAGTAGCTTTGGTGTAGTTCTTACAATGATCTGAGATTGCAAGTCTCATAATCGACTCTTCCTCTTGCTTGCAGTCACTACTAAGCACTAAACTGGGTGGGATTAAGTAGTGTGTCGTTCGTGTATAAAACTCGGATCAGGTGGGTGGTTGGTCAGCTTTCTACCACTGAATCATCATCGTACAACTTTTTTCAGCTGTCCCATTAGAAACTAAATAGTTTTGTATTACATTGGGCATTTTTATCGGTTTGTTTATTTTATTTAGCAACCTCTGTATTCCCATAATGGTATGTGACAATTGTATATGCATCAAACTTTCAACTGAGAATTTTGGCAGCAGTTAACAAATTCACTAGATCTTGCCCGTATTAACTTTATTTATTTTAGAATTTATGTGAGGAAAGAAATGCTCTCAATCCAATCTATTCATATAATAAAATTTCGTATCATTTATATTTTATATATGAATCTTCACAGATATACTATATTGCAAAGCATGAATCTTTTATAATTTTCAATTTATAGGCTGGTATGGATGAAAATACAGCGGAATATGAAGCCACTCTTCTTAGACTTGAAGAAGAGCAGCAGAGGTATCTTGTGATTATTATTATTATTTGCATTCTATGTTTACCACTATGAGTTATTAGCATGAATATGTTGCGAAAACACTTGGCTTACTAAATTATGTGATGAATACTAGCCATTCATTCATATAAGACAATCTTAATGATCTATTTACTTTCAAATCAGATAAGTCATTAAAAAACGAAGTTGTTATAAATTCCACGAATATCATATAAGAAAGGCAATACTCAAATTCACAAAACTAAAGATTCTGTATTTTGTACTCAAAATGGTGTCAGCAGTAGGCATACAGATCCTTGAGAAACATGTTATTAGTATTGTCCCCCTGGGTTTTGAGTGGAAAACGGAGCTTCAACAGTGCGTTCCTATTTCATCCTGTTCTCTGAACTCCTTTTCTTAGCTAGCTTCATGATTTCCCATAAGTTCTTATCTCCTCACAATATCTCCTACACATCACCCTCGAATTCACGTCCATCTCCTAATTTCTCATCCGGATTCCACTTAAAGGTCTGTATAGCGTGCTAAGTCACCCAACGGGCTCCTCTGTGTGTGTCTGATCCGTTTCCATTTCCTTCGATACATTTTTTGAGCTATAAGTTCTTAGCTAGTTTGTCCCCAGAACTCCTTGTTCTTAATCCTTTCCAGCCATCTGATCTTCAGCATGAAACAAAGGCAGCTGTTAATAAAAGTCTACAGCCTACTGGAAATACTTTTTGTTGCACGACAAGTCTCCGAACAAATTAGAAGCTCTGAATGACTTGACACTATTGTTGATAATTCTGATCTTCCTTTTATGTTGAGTGTTAGCAGATTTCTACACTGACTCCAATGTAATGAAAACCTGTCTCGCTTTCTGGTTCCTAGTTGGATTTAACATCCTTATGTTTACTGCCTGTAGTGAAACGATGTTGTCTAGATAGATGAAAGAGGTAACCTCCTTTAAATTTCTCTAGTCGATAATGATTAGTGCTTGTTGTTCCCGACTGGTTATCTCCATCACTTTCGCTTTTCCTATGTTCCCTTGAAGTCCTCTCTTTCCTGCTTCTTCTACCGATTTGTCAATTTTCGCCTGTTAGCCTTCGAGTTTATTCGATATTAGACATAAATCACCCACAGAGTCTAGATCCTCCAGTGTCGTTTTGGTCAGTTCAGCCTATTATGCCCGTCTCCTTGCTTCACACTGTTTGCAGCATGATCCAATTCATTACAACTAGTAATATCGTTGGTAATGGTAGGCAACTTTGTCCTATACACGTTCCCACTTCAAAGGCTTCTCTGAGTTTTATACTGTGAATTAATTAGTATGTCGTGACTGAGCAGTTTCCGAATTACTTCACGTTCGCTATAAACTATATATGTTGGTTTTTAAATTATTACTGAGAATCATTCCAGTGATTACAGAATTCAAGGACTAAAACTCTACAAAGTAGTATACGTACTCATTTTCTGCCAAACTTTGTAGCCTCAAAAGAAAGGAACAGATATGTATTGTTACTATAATGAACAGACACATGTATAAGCAGCAACAGATTTAATCGTTTTAACGTGACAAATGTGAACTTTAATTGTTTCTAATTGAAGAAGTATCCAAACATTTGTGTCTCAATAGCTTTTTTCAATAATGTTTTTTTTTAAATGTCATCAAAAACTAGTCTGGTTTCTATCATAAATCCATACAACTATCTTTTACACTAATTAAGGTTATTCGATTTTTAGAAGAAGAAGTTCATCTGCGGCTATCCAAGATATGCTATATAAGAATAAAAGTGAAGACCCTCCACCCAGAGAACTGTTTGTAAACCGAATCAAAATTACTGGTTGATAGTCCAAAATTTGATCAGATATGTACAGCGGTGATGGCTGCTTAGCTAGCTGGAGTGCTTGAATGAACAGACGAATGTAACATGACAGTGTGTGTCAAATGGTGTAGATGCTTGACCGCACCCTTTCCGCTTAAACAGTCAAATTAAAAAGTGATGGTTTGCATCCAGTGTTGAATGATAAAAGCTGCCGGCTGATGATTCTAGGGAATCATTTACCGCTACTCATTTAAACTAGACACTTTTATATTAAGACTATAGGCTAGTGTACAGCTAATTCCCTGGTGTAACATAAGTATTTATTATAATGATAAATTTTACTTGAACAACGCTACACACATGCGACTGACACTGAACTAAGTTTAGACCAATTTTTTGAGTATTAAATCTTGAAAACCACCTCGATGTACCACATTATGCATGACTACAATTAAACAAAATATGACAGAAGGAGTATGTTAGTAATCTGATATGTGTATATTAAAGGAAGATACATAAACTATTTGGAAATCAGCAGTAAAATGAAAGATACCAGCCATTTTTACAAGGTATATTTTATCTTATATTTATTCATAAAACAGAGCGTCAACTCTTGCTGGTGTAAATACAATGCTACGAGAACAATTAGATCAAGCTACCCATACAAATCAAACACTTTCATCTGATTTATCACGAATTAAAGAGGAAGCAAGTCGGCTACGTGAAGTTCTTGAACGTAGAGAAGCAGAATGGAGAAATGAAGAAGCTGCTTTCAATGATTACTTTACAATGGAACATGGAAGATTACTTGCCCTATGGAGAGCAGTTGTAGCATGTCGTCGTCAGTTTGTTGAAGTTAGAGGTCAAGTAGAAAGAGAGATTGGTGCTGCTCGAGTTGAATTATCTAGAGTATCAAGAGTGTGTCAAACAGCCTGTGAAAACTTTGCATCTAATTTACGTACAATGGAGACTAGAAATCTAGTGAGTTGATGCGCTTTTCAACTAGACACTTTGTTTTACTTTCAGTTACTAGCTGTAGCACAATACCTAACGGCTTATTAATGTTTTCATCAGTATATCTGTAGGGTATAATTTGTTTCCAAATCAGAATTTGAGGTACTTATTACAATATGGATGTGTCCAGTACAATTTTAAGGAAAAGTTTTCAGTGTTTCCAGTGAAAAAATGTTACGTCATAAAGAATCTGTAAAACTGTAACAACAGAAGACAAGGGCCAGGAAACAGATCGTTTATTAAGGAAATCAACACATACTTATAGATTTTCATGTACATTATTATAGATTGTTGTTAGCAGAAAAACACAGTATTCTGATTAGTTGTTTCTCACAGAAAGTTAACCTTGCATCTCTTTGCGACTGTTTCTTGAATGTCAGATCATCTATATGTTAACTATATCCGCCTACGCAAAACCTTTGTTGTCATTTTTCTCACGACCAATATTGGGGACATAAACATTGACGTAAATTACTATCCACCAATTTGGCTAGCAGCCAGCTCTCACCACAAAACAAGCAAAAAGTGACGGGAAGGTCACCAAAATACTCATGTATAACGTAGTTTCTAAGGCAGTACGATATCCAGTGTCGCCTAGTTTTTTGAAACACAAAAGGAAATGATAATTTAGGGACCTGTATTGATCGGCTATTGATCCGTTTATGGGATATTTTTAATTCTGGATGTGACTTAAAGTGACTGATGAGTAAATCATTGTAGAACCTCCCCTAGATGGTCATCGATCCCAGTAATTACTATTACTCTGATTAATTCCATAGTTTCTGAGTACAATATATGTCCTCAGCTACACATTTCTACTCTACCTGGTTCTCTAAAATCACTTTCATCTGGTTCCAACACTACCCACAAGTTTTTGTTTACTCGCCACAGGATTTTCTTTACGCCTTTCTTGGATGTCTAACACGTCACTACTTATTCGAGATTCCATCGAATGCCTTCCTCATGTGTGATGTCATTCATCAGTCTCCTTAGCTTATGTCCAATCTGGTTCCATTTCCTTTTGTAGATTTGTTCACCAATGAGTTCTGGGCTGGTGTTCTACCTGCATATCGTCTCTGGTTAACTGATCCTCCAATAAAATGCAAGAACAGAAACGTGATCACACGATATTGAAAAACATGGAAGAGAGAATATTTAAATACAGAATTTTAGTTTAGTTTAGTTAAATGTCCTTATAGTTGGGCCAATAGCCTAACTAGTAGACCAGAAGATTTTAATAACGAAATCAAATAAATAAGAAAAATATTACTAGTGAATAACTACACACCAGGATTTATTCATAAATATATGAAGAACCATAAAAAAAAAACTTAGACTAGAAATACAGTTGACGAAAATAACGAAAATAATATAGAATTCAAAGCCTCTGCAATACTGTCGTATAAAGAGGGGATCTCAGAGGCCTTACGTAGAATTTTAAATGCCGTTGGAATTAGGATGGCATTTAAACCGACCAACTCTCTCAGAGATAAACTTTATCGGCTTAAGGACCCAATGGATTCAATTAAGAAAGACAATGTAATCGACCAAATATCACGTAATGACTGTGACGTCAATTTCTTTATGATTATAGCTTGAAACCACACAGTATTTTTGGTACGATTATGGAATTTTCAGCATGTGATATCGGTAGCCCAAATTTCGCAGACTGACCACTGATATCAGGTGTGTGTCGGCAGAGGACTGAACTCCGGGCCATGAGTATGGTCGGTGAGAATCCTAACCACTGTGCCACTGAAGCAAAGGTCAAACTAGTAGATTGGTGTCAATTAAATTATTGGAGCATAAAAATTTAGCTAGACCTTAAATAATTGACCCTATTAAGTTAAATAATCTAGAAAAACAGAGCTGAGCCATTGCACTGCATTCACTTGCATGTAATCACAGAATAGGGTGGGTGAAACAGGATGAGAGTATTAAAAGCAGAATAGTTAGGTAAAGAGAGAGATAATCACTGAAGCTTTTTTTATGGATTCAACACCTCACACGTGCAATCGGAATGTCGCAAAGCCTATACTGGGGATATGGACAGTGGCAACAAACAACAGAGGGAAGTTGGAGAGACAGATAAGGAGAAAAAATATGTAAGACAAACTGCAAAACCGTATGACAAAATTGATATCATTATGATCAGCAATAATTTATGCTCGAAACCTTATCAACCAGTTGTTAATATTGCATCACTGTGTGATATTTAAAAATAAACTTATATAATATGGAATCACATTTTATCACAGTGCCCAAGTTCTACACTTATATTAAGTAGAGAATAGTCAACACATTCAGAAATTTCGTTGCATTTAGACTGATATGTCTCATTTAACATGATAACACTAATTTAATACATATGTACACAATAACTTTAGCCAATAAGTAAAGTAGATGTTATATTCCTATGTACAGAGGATCATAGAACCCCTGCGGGCGCGTACTGATGAAGAGTACCAAACTAGAACAAAACAGCTGGCTGTCCACTACTCCCAGGTTTTTCAATGGTTGTCTAACTGATGGCAGCTCATGATGAAATCCCAAAGTCATCGAAATTAATCAAATATTACACTAAACATTCAAAATGCTAGAGATAGCCTATGGCTCAGAATGAAGACGAGAATTATTTGTTGGTCTTCGGGCCTCGTGGAGGTTTTGTCAACAAGCTTGATATTAATTTTGGCACTAATTCAAGGGGATCAGTAGTTTCTATAGAAAAACACCTCACTAACAAAATGTACATCAGGACTTTTTACCAACTACCGATCATGCAACACTTAGATTATGTAACCCACATGAGTCCAGTTGAGTAAAAAAAAACACTGTTTCACTATGCTGTCATTTGAAACAGTAGTTTCTCTTCTAAACTATAGATGAAATTTCATCCCACTTACTGTTTTGATCAGAACATAATTGTATGCAACTGTATTAGATAACATCTAGCAAGCGATCGATGTATTCACACCTTTACCAAAATAAACTTCCTACATAAAACACTCCATTTCACTGGAACAAATATCATCAAAAGGTTGGTAAGAAAAATAAACACTAATGGATTGAATTACTTGTGAATTCATTGACAGGTTTTACCAAAATGAAGTAGAAAATAGACATAAGTTTAGTAAGCAAGAAGTGTTAAAATGGATACATAAAAGGAATAATGGTAATAACAATAATAATAAAGATAAAGAACACATGCCAGCAGTTCATGTGAATAAGGAATGAAATTCCTATTGCTTAGAAAGACTTCTTGTCGATAACAAGCTCAACTATACAACGTTTTGTTAGCGTTATTTTACAGTGGATAGATAGCAGAGTTTCTATTGATCCACTACCCGTGATCTGAATACATTTTAGCATATTTTCAAGTGATATTTTGCAGATATTTAACTGATTTTAGGATTTCATCATGAACTGACATCAGTTAGAGGACCATTGGAAAACCTAAGAGTACTGGATAACTCTTTCACCAGCCCAGTTTCGGACTCTTCAACAGTACTCACTCAGACTGCGGGGTTCGAACCCAGGACCTTCTGGTTACAAGGCGACCTCGTAAATCATTAAGCCATTGGGACCCGATCCAATGGGCAGTGTATGAACTCCGAATTCTGCTAATTCATGATATGACTCAACCACTAGCGAATGTCATCTGTGGCGAGTATTCGTCCTCATACCCGACCTGCTGTACTGCACTGGTGACGACTTGTCACCAGAATCCAGGTAAAACTGCCTACCTGAATAGAGCCAGTCGCTAGTGAGCACCAGACTGGTATTCAATTGTTAGTTTGCAGGGATTTGTTTGGTTTCAGGATTGTATATGATAACACATGTTTATTTCTAGGTTACATTAGATCAAGAGAAGAATGATAAGAAGAAATTAGAACATGAATTGGAAGAATTAACACGAAATTGTGAAAATATCCGTCAACAAGCTAATGGGCAACTTGAAGAAGCAAATAAGAAAATAGCCAGCCTGATGAGTCAAATAGAAGAAATGGGAAAACAACTTTCTGATCGTGATCATACAATTGATTGTTTACAACGACTTCGTACTGGTCAAAGTCTTTGTGGGCGTAAAGGTATGTATTCCTGATAAATATTTAAATTCTGCTTAAAGAGACTGAGTATACTTGTCAATAAAATTTAATAGTTTTGATGCGAACACCAAGCGAACAAGCGACTTGACAAATTTAATTTTTAAAAATATCCTAAAGGCTCAAAAAGTGAATGTTGACAAGGGCTATCTCAAACAAAAAAGTTAATGTGGAAGGAATATCCTTTGTTTCGACGTCTCTGAAATAAAACTAATATGTCGAGTGCTATCTTACCGTGGCGTCTATTTTGGAGAATAAATTATTATAATAATATTCCCTTGGGTCCCGAGGGAGACATAGGGCTTCAACAACACATCTCCATTTTCTTCTATCATGTGGTGTCCTCTTCAGGTGATTAGTCGCACGATTGTCCATAATCTCTCATCTCCTCCCCATTACAGGATCTCCTCTGTGTTATCCTTGCACCGACGAGTCAATCGTCGTTTCCCATTGTGTTTCCACTTGAGCCATGGCCTGAATTGAGTGTGATGTCATTCGACGGCCTTCTCAGCGTATGCCCAATCCATCTCAATTTTCTCCTACATATTTGTTGAGCTCTTGGCTGGTTTGTTTCCAGCCAGAGTATTTTCTTGCTAATTCCTTCTGACCGGCTGGCCATTTGATCTTCAGTATGGCAGCTGTTGATAAAAGCCTATGGCCTGTTGAAAGTGCTTTCCGTGACGAGCAGTGTAAGTTTCTGACCCACATAAAACATAAAACTGTGTTGAAAATCTTAGCGCTGTTCTTTATGCTGAGTGCAGCAAAGATTTACAAATTAATTACAGATTGATGAAGTTGTATCTTGCCTTTCCAATTTCGGCTTTGGGAAACAAATAGAAATTTTGAGTGACGCTGTCTATTTACCATAAATTTTCAGACTTAAGCACGAATTGTTTGGTTACGGGTATGATCACAAGATGACATAAGTTCAAGAATAATTAGAAAACTTGGATGTACTAAACAACTGTTTCGTCCCAGTTTCAAACTCTCTATCAGCACGCATCCACCGGGGTTTCGCCTTGTTACCATAAGTATATCTCTTTAGCTGTTCATCTGAAACAAATCGCATACATTGTGATGTTATACATGTCACTCTTCATGTAGTAAAGCAGTAAAGTGTTTAATTAATTAGAGCTCAAGTTAATAAATTTAAAGGCTTTGTTCTAGCATATCTGGTATTTCCAAAGCATTACGTCAGTGTTAGTACAGACCTTAGCGTAATATACCTTACTGACAGGATGACAGCTTTCAGTTCTTTTCCGCTGTCGCTTAAACACCCAGAGCTAGACATCAGTCAGCAATAGGCTGGGATATTGCTGTCTCGATTATATCAACAAAAAACCCAGCCTCCGTAACGTCCTTTCCAAAGAACATCGAAAGGAGCTGAAAGAACTGAAGGATAATGAAAACTTGATCATCACGCGACCATATAAAGGCTCTGGAATCGTCCTGATGAACAAATCAGACTATCTAAGCAAACTCTCGATGATACTATCCGATGATAAAAAGTTTCAGAAACAGTCTCCACAGAAAGATCCCACTGAACAGACGGATCTCCAGCTAACAAAGATATTGAAGAAAATGAAGGACGAATCCATTATCAGTTCAAAGCTATACGAACAACTGCGCCCATCTGGTTCTACAACGCCACGTATGTACGGCTTACCCAAGGTGCACAAACAAGACGTCCCACTCCGCCCAATACTAGATATGATAGATTCCCCATATCATACAATCGCGAAATGGCTGGTGGAGATTCTCGGGCCGGTGAAAGAGAAGCTGTCAAGACATAACCTCCGCGACACATTCGACTTTGTTGATTCAATTAAGAATGTCAATGTGGCAGAAAAGAAAATGGTCTCCCTGGATGTCGTGTCTCTCTTCACCAACGTTCCACTGACAGAAACCGTATGTTTCCTTTGTGACTACATTGAATCCAATAACATCAATGTCGGTATACCAATTCATTACCTGAAAGAACTGTTACTTCGATGCACCTTCAACGTATACTTTAGTTTCAACAAAGAAATATACAGGCAAGTAGATGGAGTAGCAATGGGTTCTCCCTTAGGACCCCTTCTAGCCGACTGCTTTATGGCTAGCTTAGAGAACAACGCCTTATCAACAACTATCAACGACCTCCATCTCTACAAGAGATACATCGATGATACTTTCATTATTTGTGATGAGAACTGTGATTTAAAAAACCTACTTCAAATCTTCAATAATGCCCACCCAAACATCGACTTCACACTTGAGACTGAATCCGACGGAATGTTCCACTTCCTCGACGTCCATCTGACAAGAAACGCCGACAACTCCCTGAAAAGGTCCATATACAAAAAGCCTACATGGAATGGACAATTCATCAACTTTCAAAGCTTCGTGCCCCTGAGCAGAAAGAGGAACCTGATATACGCTCTTTCCTCGAGGATTCGGAAGATATGCAGCGAGGAAGTGGTTGAAGAAGAACTGCGTAATCTTCGAAAAACCCTGATGGAAAACGGTTTCCCGCCCAGGTTCATAGAAAAGAATCTCAAACCTAAGAAGACTTCTGAACAAGTCCAATCCGTCCCAAAGAAAATGCTTCTGCTTAATCTAGAATTCAAAGGTGATATTGAAGCAGAAATCCTTCGCAGACGCCTCTCAAAATCGCTGAGGAAAACATACTTCGCCGCTAGCAATAATAATGTGAAGAGGAGATGAAAGCACGTAGGTAGACGTTGAGCCAGCTGAAAACGTTGGTGGAGAACCAGACGCAAGGGAGACGTGTAGCTGAAGCCCTATTTCCCTTTAGGAACTAAAGGAGACAATAATAATTGCATAGAAGACATCTAAGAATACTTTTATCTCTATTTTGACTTTCCCGTTGACTGATTCTACCGAAATGTCCAGCCTCTGCTAACATGTCGTCTCCTCGCATAGATGCTTTGACGATGTCAGAGAATTAACTTGAAGTCATTTGATACGTGGTGACCAGCATCCAATGAGTCCCGAGCGGGACAAAACACGCCTCCTCGATTCCGCTGATAATCACCATCCTCCACATTACTTCAGCTTACGATTATTATTTAATTTCAGTTAATTGGATGCATTAAGTGTAATTTTTTAAACTTATTAATATGAACTGTATTGTTTTTTTTTGTCTAAACAGAAGGTGGAGATATCACTGATCCATCATCTCGTGCTTTAGTTGAAGAAACTCAAGCCTTATATCAAACACTTAGAGAACTTTCTCAATCAATACTCAACGATGATTTATTACCACCTGATGTTCATGCTGGTGCTGAGAATTGTTTCCATCAGTCAAGATCTCGTTCACCATGTTATGCTTCAAATCCAAAACTACCAATTCATAACTTCCAAAATTCAAGAGCAGGAGCATATGGGCGGACTGGATCACCACCACCGCCAATGAATAGTACAAATGCTTGTTATTGGGCTGATTCAACTCTGTCAGCTGTTCAAGCAGCCCTTCATAAACGTGGACTACAGGTAAACATTTTGATAGAAGTTTCAACTAAAATACTTTAGCAGTTATGGTTAGTGAAATAAATTATTCGCCAATCAGATTTATTTCTAATCATTTATGTGAATCAGTTTGACTGCATCCTTTACAGCCATAATTAATACTTAAAATTCATTTCTACATTATAAAACAGGTCTCCGATCTAAATGCAAAACTGAACAGTACAAAAGATCAGTGTGAGTCAATTAAACATCAATTAGATGATAGTGAAAATGAAAGACGAAACTTGGAACGTCAGTTGATTGACATGCGATCAGAATTAGACAGTATGAAAAGAGAAAAAGAAGATATGGGAAGAGAAATAAAAAGAATCACAGCAAATGTTCAATCTTTGAGTAATGAAAAAACAGATTTAGAAAGATTACGTTCAAATTTGTCTGATGAATTAAAAGGTCTACAAGGTGAACTAGAACGTGTACAAAATGCTTATGCTGAATTACGTAAAAATAGAGATGCATTAGAAGAAGAATTATCCTGTGCACAACGTGATGCTGATAGATGCTTAAGAGAATCAGAACGTTGTCAACGTTGTATTGATACGCTTGAAGAACGTTTATCAGTTGAACGAGAGGAAGGAACAAATTTGAGAAGCAATCTACAAAAAGCTAAACTCGATGCTGAAATTAAAGCTAAAGAATTGGCAGATATTCAAGAGGCTCTGTCAAGAGCAGAAACGCGTAAAGCCGAACAAGAAAGTGAAATAGCCCGACTTCGATCAGATGAAGCAACGCTGGGTGAACATTTAGCCAAATGTCAGGTAAGCACTTGCAAATTTATATACTGTCACATTTTGATTTTGAATAAATGACAGTTTTACATGCAAAGCAAACATTTAACTAAGATGTGTAAGCATGTTACCATAGCCTGGACTATTGTATTCAATAGTTTAATTACAATAATCTCCATTCAAAAGTATTCTGATAACATTCTTATTGAAATGTCTCAGTGTTATTAGTCACTAAATAAATGAAGTATATTTTATTGCAATTAAGTTAATAACATTACTCAAATAGACATACTTTTCTACTGCTTTTAGTCTTCTTAAGTGTTATATTCTTAAAAAGAATAAGTCTGTGTTAAATCAAAACTGTCAGCTCGTTTCTTTAGATTATTAGGAATGTGTCATCTACAGGAGATCAATCGCGAGCCCCAATACCTCAGTGGTAACGCCTCTGACTGCAGCACTGCACTGGGTGACGCGGGCTCGAATCTCAGAAGGGACATGAGTTCCTTCGAGGTTGCAGATACGCCTTTCTCATGAGTGCCAACTAGCACGAAACCTAGACCCAAGGCTTTCTGCCGATCGCCTCCAACCAGCTAATATGTGTCATCTATGTAATGTATCCAAATTTTGGGTTTGATCTTTGGTAGGATTATTTTTTCGAGTCTTTACATCACAGCTACCGTAATCAAACCTGATATGGGTGATCCCATGAGTGTTCCTTTAATTTGTTGATATATTTGGCCGTCAGACACAAAACTGCCTATTTGCGATCTGCACAGTTCCAGGTGAAATCCCACCACAGTCTCCCTCGGAAACCAAAATTGTTCAGATCAAAATACGTGATCTGCTTGATATAGTAAATGGCAATCAATATTCGCATATGGAGGTGAAATTTCACCACAGTTTCCTTAAAAACTGGTCTATGTGTATGGCATCCAACTACTCAAATCAGCCGATCAGTAGTATATAGTGCCATGCATCTTAATTCCCATACAAGGTATCAAGCAGATCATACATTGTGATCTGTATAATTTTGTTTCCGTAGGAAACTGTGGTGAAATTTTTCCTCTAATCGCTAATCTATTTGCAGTTTGTGAATTTGATGTAAGGTGTTACAAGTTCGCCCAAGCAGTTAACCAGAATTCGGGCGTTTTGGACTGATTCAGCCCTCTGAGCTAAGTCCATCCATATACATCGCTGATGATATCCAGCCCAAACGACCGATATTTTAGTTCACATGGATCTGGTTTACAAGCACTGCTGATTGATGTGATTGCTATACAACTACTCAAATCAGTTAATCAGCAGTATGTATCACATCATAAGTCTAAGTGTATTTCTGTCAGAATTTATTAAACAAATTTCATTTAAAATTAGATGTAAATAACTTTTTTGTTGTTGAGGAAAATAGAGGTTAGCTGTAACAGCTTATTGTAAACAATGTTCATTTACAGAATTTTCGAATATCCTTAGGTTAATGGAGTTGCTACAATCTAACTTACTTGTAAATTAAAAGTCAATCTGAACGAAGAATATTCTTTTCAATAATTTCTCTTCAGGTTCTTACAATTGTAAAATATATTTGTTATGCATTATAATAAAGATTTTTTTGTATTTCCCTCCGAATGAAAAACAAAACGATATTGTTTTTATTGACGTTTCGCTATTTAATGCTAATAGCTTTATCAAAGTATTATTAAATTATTTATAACATTTGTTGTCGTCACAGTAACGGCCAGTTATGCGGCGGATACATTTTTAACGTAGAATAAGAGATTAGTTATGGGGTGTCAAAATAAATAGTCGGTATTTGTATGATAAACGTCCTTTGCTTAGTATTACAAATATGATTATTATTCGTCATAATTTATGCCCTTGATGCAAACATCCCCTCAATACTGTCGAATTTTCATTTATTTTATCCAGACTTATTATTAGTGGTATTATCTCTTTTCTCAATATATGCCTCCACCTATTTCATTTCACATATTCGTTATTTCATTATGAACCTCTTATTGCAGTCTTACTATCTCCCTCGTGATACATACTTCTTATTACTAGCCACTCACTTGACACTTTTTATAACCTTGAACTGACTTGTCAATTTTCCTACCCCACACTCTACAAATCTATTATGATTAATCATCACCACCACTATCTCTCATTTCACAGTATTTTGTAATCGATTTCAGCCCAGAGCACGTTTGTCACACAAATACGACTATTTATTTCGACACCTCATAACTACTAATCTGTTATTCTACGTCAAAAATGTATCCGCAGCATAACTGACCTTTATTGTAACGACAAAAAAGATATTATATTTCATAATTGTAAGTACCTGAAGAGAAATTATTGAAAAGAATATTCTTCTTTCAGATTGACTTTTTATTCATAATATGGGAATATTTCACACTATTAAATCTTATTTGTAAATGACTACTTTCTCTGAATCAAGGGAATTGAATGTCAAATAACTATGAGACTGTAATGCACTTAATAGTGTTCTCTGAGGTGGTTAGTTTACTTGCAGAGCTTTCCTCATCCCTCTGCACAACATCTTCAGGGCGAATTCTAGCATAAAGTAAAATGATTCCATATTAATTTGCTTATTAGATGTATCACACAGTGAGGGAAACAGTATTATTTACTGGATGACACAGTTTTGAACAAAATTTATTGTTCACAATCATATCAATTGTAATCACACGACTTCGAAACTTCAGTTTTATAGTTTTCTTCGTCTTCTCCTGTTTGTCGTCGTTGGGGTAGTAGAATTTTCAAGATATCTAGGACAGGTGATGAATCATTACTATCACAAGTATTTGCAGTTGATTCGATAAACAAAGCTTCTGTTATCAATCTCTCCCTCCACCCTGTGACATTAGATTTTAATACTGTCATCCTATCCCATCCTATTGTATGGTTGTTTGTAACTGCATGTAGTGAGTGCTATAACTGAACTATTCTCCGAATTTCTTATCTTATTTGGGTCAACCCATCTAGATTTTGTTAGGTTTTTATGCTCGGTCAGTCTGACTCGCCCTGTTCTACTACTTTGACCTATGTATTTGACCTGACAATCATTGTAGGTAGGGTATTAGGTGAACTAAATGGTTTTGTTTTAAAGGCTCCACAGGATCCTTTAACCGACAAAGCTTGTTTCTAATTGAGTTTGTGGGTGGTTTGAATGCCAGCCACCTTTATTCTTGCCTTGTTAAGAATTCACAGCAGTAAGGTTTCCGAGGTTGCTTCCTTGTATCGAATTACTACTGATTATTTAGATTCCTATAAAAATCAAGTTTCAAAGTCGTGTGATTACAATTGATATGATTATGAACAATAAATTTTGTTTGAAACTGTGTCATCCAGTAAATAATACTGTTTCACTGTGTGATATATCTAATAAACAAACTAATATGGAATTACTTACTACCATAGTGCCCAAGTTTTACATATATAAAGTGAAATGATTTAAATTTTTCATGAGTGATAGAATTGCGTCTCCCGGTAACCATCTTTACATATACATTGACCATTTTCTATTGACTTGGATTTTACACTTTCTGGTCATCTACCTGATTTACTTTTTATTAGTTAGTATATTTCGTCTATATTAACGTGTTTGTTAATTGCATATTCGTTTGAGTACCAGACTTCTAGGAATTCCTTGGCACTTTTGTTGTTTCCTCTGTCTAATATTTCCACATTATCCTAATCATCAAACTGATGTCCATAATTATCTATATGCATTAATATGAAAGAATATATATCGTGTCTTTTCACAGTTGATTTGTGTTCTTGGATTCTGATTCGAAGGGGACGCCCACTTTAGCCGATGAGGCTGTGTTGTTTTATAATGTATATGAATAAAAACAATAAAAACTTACAATTCCTAGAAGTATTTAGGTTAATACTGAAGGCTAAATAAACATACGCACAATTTTTAAAATATTTTTTATTCCTTTACATTCCCAGTGGAACATAGGGCTTTAAGCTCCAGGCTTGAAGTTTCGGTAGCAGTAGTATTTATTTTGTTTACGGGATGGCATTGCTGGCCTCATGCCCAACTTTCCCTCTTTACTCGCGTTATTACTGGCTTAGGAAGGTAAAGGTATGCGTTGGCCGGCGATCGAACGCCGGACCATGTATGTGGTTGACGAGATACACACAGTAGGATTCTTAAAATGGTTTACATTTTAGAAATTAATTAACACTACTTTACATTCATTCATTTACTACTCCAATAGATAGAAATCAAAAATTTTGTAGAAATGTACTTCAAACTTACTCAGAGTTATCATTCATATTATTAATGTTAATCATATATGTGCTAAGGTATTGTCTCAGAAATATCAATGCAGGAATTATCAAAGTTTCTCTGGTTCACTCATTACTAGAGAAAAAAGCATTTCACCATTATGCATGATTCACTAAGATTCCTGAAAATTTTTTACTAAAAACTATAGAAATACTTTTCTGACTTTATTGTTATTCATTTTTTGTGTGGTTCGAGTGGGATATGAGGCTTCGGAAACTCATCTCCTTTTCACTCGATTCTCTGACATCATTTTCAAGTGAATCCATCACTGAACACAAGGTTTCACTCCCTCTCTCCATATAATCTTCTCTATGTTGTTGTTTTCCCTCTCCGTGACACACGAGGGTCTGATATGTGATGTCACTTAACGACCTCTTCGGTATAAATTCAGTTCTGCTCCAATTCCTTCTTCATTTTTGTTGGGTAAAAGATTCTTGGCTGTTTCGCTGCCACAATTCCTTGTCTCTCATCCTCTCTAGCCGATCATTTGGGCTTCAGTATAAAATGAAAAGGGTAGCTGTTCATGAAGACCAGAAACTTGTTAGGCATGCTTTTTGTGACACGTGTGCTAAGTATTTAAATACTACAAAAGCACAGACTTCACGTCAGTGCTAAAAATTCCAATCTTGCTCTATGTGCTTCCCACTTATTTCAAAGCCTATCTTACTTTCTCGATCCGGTTCCATCTGGCTCTCATTTCTCCATGTATTTG